ATCGATTACATTCAATGTTGGCAACAAGCATATGTTCATGTTTTCGGTTCACTTATCATTATGGATGATGATTATTCATTCATCCATTTCAAGCGACAGGATTTCTTCTTGTTTTTTTTTTTGGCGATTAAAACCGATATATATAGAATGAAAAAGTTATAAAATATCCACATAAAATGTGATGTGATTCATTTCCGACATTCACATTGGATCATCATTTTATTTCTTATTTTTAAAATTCATTGCTTCTTATTTGAACATCATCAACATCATCATCATCATTAGGATTCGAAAGATTTTCTTCTTCTTGTTTCTTGGTGGTGGTGATGGTGATGGTGGTAATGTAACATTTCATAATTTTTTTTCTGCATACGATTCAAAAAAAAAAAATTTGTCAGACAAATTGCAAATGAAAAAGCCATGGCAGCCAAAATTAAATAACAAAACAAAACAATAAAAATTCAGCCAATGATGATGATGATGATGTTGATGATTGGTCAAGTTGAATTTGTTTCTTGAAACTTTAACTGTAAACGAGAATTCTAAAAAAAAGAATTCTAAAAATGAATTGCGCATCCGTATCCGCGCAAACCAAAAAAAAAAAAAACATTATTCATGATGAATATCAAGGGTCACACACACACACACACACACACACACACTACGATACTACTTGTTTCATTCAGATAGTTGAATTTATTGACATGAATGAATGAGACAAGTGTTCCCATTTTCTTACACATCAAATCTATCCGACAAATGATTGCATCGTTTTTTTTTCTCTCTTCTTTCTCATCTTTTTTTCTTCTTCTTCTTCTTCTTCTCATGGATTCCATATTATTTCATTCGTATTGTTTTACAATTTCGTTGAAAAGTTTCGTTTTCGTTTTCTCTTTCCGTTTATTTTTTCTGCTTCATGTTCACTTGTCATTATCAATAATGTTTTTAATTCTTAATTCAATTCAATGGTCGCTCTAACCAGTCGCACCACTCATTTTAACACTATAGTTTTTTCATCGTATTGCTTATCCATACTAGTTGGACGGAAATGCAATCGAGTACAAAAAAAAGAAAGAAAGAAAAAAATAACTGAATGAATGAGTGAAAAGGTCATTGGTCATTGAAGATTGCCATCATAATATTAAAAAAAAAAATCAAAATCAAAATCAAAATTGAATGTTTGTTTACCATTATTATGTAAGCACTAAAATAGAGCAAGTTACGACGTGACTTTAGTTTAGTTTTTTATTTTGATTTTATTTTCCCAATAATTTTATATTATATGACTCATATTTCATAAAACGTAATATTTGTCCAGAAAAAAAACATGAATTTTCATCAACTTAAAACTGGCAATTGTTTTTTTCTCTTTTAGTTTACTCAAATTTAATGTAAAAAAAACCAAATAGTTGAAATTGGAATTTATTTATAAATAACCAAAAAAAAATTCTTGGTTGGAATTCCAGCAATACCTGTGTATATAAATTCAAATGGAATTTAACGAAAACCGGATTGATTGAAATCAAATTAATTTACATATAATATGAATACGGCAGGAGAATAAATTTAAATTTCAAAGGCAATTATTTTTTTTGTCAATGAAATAAAAAAAAAACATCATCAAACCGTGTTTTTTTTCACATAATCCACCTACTTGAAATCTCATCTATCTCAATGTGAATAAAGAGCGAGAGAGAGAGAGAGAAACAGAATTGTGTAGGGAATTTATCGCCATAAAAGATGGAAACTATGGAAAAACCAAACTAATTATTCTTATTATTTGCACATATTCGCTCATTTTAATGGGAAAGAGACAAAAAAAATTCTGAACCATAGAATTGTTTTGATTAAATTAAAAATGTGAAAATAGAAAGAGAGAGAGAGAAAAAAAAATGAGAAAAGTGAAAACAAAAATAATTTTAACAGAAGAGAAAAAAAAACAATGAACAAACATTTCCAAATGTTTTTCAACATTTGGGAAATCATATTCATACAGTTCTCTCACTTGAGAATATTCTTGATGATGATGATGATGATGATGATGATGACATATATTTTTTTTTGTTGAACATCTTTGATGAAGAAATTAAAAGAAAAAAAAACTACTGTAGTCAAAAATACAATGACAGACTTAATATAATGTGTGAATGAATACGTAATATATGGTAATTTTGTTTAGCAGCAGTAAGCTGTAAACAAAAAAAAATGGAGAGAGAGAGAGAAATATTTATATTCCAAATCGTAACTTGCAAAAATAAAAACACGGTAATAATGGACTTAATTTACATTTCACTAAATGGCACACATTAACATTTATAAATTTTTTTTTCTATGCAAACATATATGCATATATGCTTTCTATTATTTAAAACCGTTTTCCCTTCCGGAACATTTTTTTTTTTGAATTCCAAATCCAAATAGTTATTATTATTATTATTACTATTACCGTGATATGAATATCGATTAATTGTGAATAGAAGTGTAAAAAAAAACATTTCATTTTTAAATTATGATTGAATTTCAAAATGTTATGTTTATTTTTTTCGTTTGTGTGTGTTTGTGTTTGTTCAGGCAAAGAATAAACGAAATGGTAATGATAATGATGATGATGTTTTTTTTTCCAATATGCTCAATTCGATTATCATGTTTATCATAATAATGAATATATATCGAGTAAACAACTGCTACAATAACAAAAATGAAATGTAATAATAATGAATATATATACAAAAGAATCAGATAATGATGTGGATGATGCAGGTAGTCAGCAGCTGCTAACCAATTTTTTTTTTGTATTTTCAATTTTCATTTTTTTCTATTCATTTTATTTATCCAAGAAAAAAAAATGAATCATCAGGATAAAATTATATCATCAACAAACAAGAAATAGTAATTTCAATGAAAACGATTACCATCTTTGCTGAAACTCATTTTGTAACGGTACAATTGTATCTGGTGTGCTGGTGTGTATTTGTGTTTGTGTGTGTGTGTGTGAATTGTTGGTTGCAAGACTTGGTTGATTACTTAACTTAACTGTTTTGCTGTCTGTCAGTTTGAGTCTAGACAATAAATGATTGGTAGTTTTAATCAATTTTCAGTTCATTTTTTTTTTTTTGGTTGGCTTTCAATAAAAATCATAATCAATTTAACAATCACAAATATTGTTCATCGTATCATTTTCTTATTTGTTTATCATCATAACACTGCCAACATTAAAAGTTTATGTCAATGATAATAATGACATAATCGGCTAACAATCTGATTTTGTATGGTAAATAAATGAAATCAGAAAATAAAAGAATAAAAATGAAATCAGAAAACGAAAACGAAAAATGTTTATCAATTGAAAGATCAGCCAAATATTAGATGCAGGCCAAATCATTGTTTAATGACAGATTTTTTCTGATTTCGAATGAATAGTACTGAATTCTGTGCTGGGAAATTGATATTCTTGCAGAATATTCTTGTTGTTATCTTTGTATTATTTTTCAATAAAAAAACTATTACTAATAGAGAATAAAAAATGATTTTTTTTCTTTCATTTTTCAATTTAGTTAATGCTCATTATTATCCCTTTTCTCGCAGGCAACTAAAATAATAATAATAATATATAAACAACAAAAACAGAGATTGAAAAATTGATTACAATATCGACATGAAATATGATAACCACGAATAATAATTAAATGGGAAAAGAATTTTTTTTTTCATTTTGAATATATTTTTTTGTGATAAACATTCAGAGAAAACAAAAACATTTCGAAATAATTGGCAATAGCAAAAAAAAAAGAAAAAAAAGAATGCAAGAAGAAGAAAACAAAAATCAATCACCTACTTGAACAACACACAATGTCTGTGATACAGACAGACAGACAGACAATTTCTTTATTTATAAAGATCGATTTGATGAATTTAAACACACTGAAAATTGTTATTAATGAATCAATTTTTTAAGTTTATTTATATTTTTTTGAAATGACATAAACACTTTGGTATGAAATTTGAAAATATTCACACACACAAAAAAACGAATGGAATTCAACAAGCAGCAACAACTGGTTCATTGGAAGCTATCGTTCGTGTTTTTGTTTTCAGATTTAAATCAGAAAAAAAATTGAAAAATTTTTTTTTCAAATTTTTATCAAACGGCAAAGTTTTTTTTTTGCAAACAAACATAATCATTGGAACAGAAAAAAAATGACCGGCATATCCGGCCGGTTCCAACAACCAAAACCACTGACTGACTAACTGGCGGCTGTCAGAAAATGAACTGGTTGACTGACGACTTGTTCTTGGCAATCTTCTTCTTCTTCTTTAGCTACTGATTCTTTATTGTAGTTCTGTCACGGTATCTATAGTTAAAGTTTTTTGTGGTTCCAAAATGTTTGTATTCTCTTGCTGTTGCGTTGCATTTTTTTTTACATGAGACTTTTCCAAAATACGCAGGACTGACATTTACGTTTGAAAGTTCTCATTTCCAATTCATTCATTTGCTAGTGAGTGTGTGTGTGTGTGTATGTATGCGAAAACGATTTGTGATTCCACTTTTTTTCTGGTTGAATCGAATTTTTTTTCCATTTGTGTTTGTGATTTCATTCATAATTTTTTTTATATCCGATATGCTCTTGCGCTTTTTATGACCGTTTTGTATTATATTTTTCAATTTTCCATAGATTTCTTGTGATAATTACAATTGTTGCACATATTACACGTGCATATAGCAAGAATTTCATTTGATTCTCTCATTATTAATGAATTGTAGCCGGAATCATCAATTCTTCAATTTGAACCCATGCTATTTAGAAAATGACTAGACCTTTCAAATCTAAACAGCAATCAATTATTGGAATGTCAAAAATCAAAAATGGAAAAAAAATGGCTTGGACATGAAAAATGAAGTAGAGGAAAAAAGCTGAAAATTTTCATCATTTTGATTGATAATCTATTCGGCAAAGATGATTGATAATTACATAATTGGAAATGAAAAACAATAAAGAAAATTAGATATCTTAATCAATTAATTGTTTATTAACAAATGCATTTCACTTGTCAAGCCTATGATTGGGTATTAATCATTAAACCATCGTATGGATCACGTTCATAATTATCGATGGTTAGTTTATTCGTTTTACGGAATGTAATACGATAACGACCACCACTTGCTGCTTTATCATCTGTTTTCAATATGTTTAAACGAATCACATCCAATCGGTCACGTTGGTCAAGATTAAAACCACGAATCAAATCAATTTCATCTCCTTCGCGTACTTCATAGCTTTTTTTACCCACACGTTCACCATTCACACGAATTAGATCCTTGGATTAATGGAAAATTTAAAAATTTAATTGATTTATTGATTATTGATTGATAAATAAACAAAAGCAGCACTTACATTGTAGAAACTTTCTTCGAATTTCGCTCTTGATATATTGAAACACGTCTTACCAAAGGCATCCAAACGCCATGTCATAACGGTTGTATTGAGAACTCGTGAATCTAGATCCGATTCATCCATTAGTTCATCTTGATCAGAATCTTCATCTTCGTCTTCATCATCATCATCGTCTTCATCTTGTTTTGAAGGTCGTTGCGGTTGTTTACCGGCTTTCTTTTTCTTATACCGTTTTTGTATAAAATGGATTGGTGATTTTAAATCCACATTAAGGACATCAACGGGCATTGATAGATTATGAATAGCAAAAAGTGTACGATAATTTCGATTGCACGACACATAATGACTTTGAGGCATCGAATTAAGGATTGGCTTTACTGGATACGTACGTTGTAAACGTACAACTAATTGATTTATAATTTGAATTCTAAAAAATTGTCTTAAATACATTTTCAACGTTTATAAATTTGCAAAAAAAAGTACAAAATAATATCACATGTTTCAATAATTCGAGGATCATTCATATACAATTGAACAACAACAAAAAAAAATTGTATGCTGACACAACAATACAACTCGCTCAATATATTCGGGTTGTCCGCGTGGACACCAAATAATCCTCTTTAGCTAGAATTGATTAAAACGTTTTGATTAAAGATGTAATTTGAAAACGGAATTGTTAACGTCCATAACGATGAATATATCGAGCTATGCATTACGTAATCGTTGCCTTCGTTATGGCAAACGTTATCGCCATTATATATTATTAAATCGATCCATTGATGGCCAATCGATTCTTTGTAATTGCTGCTGCTGTGATGGTTGTAATCTATTATTCACTACAATCATAATACTAGCCATAATGTCATCGTTCATTTGCTTTTCATTATTTTGGTTCAACAACCATAATGATACACAATCAATGAATCTTGGCATTGCGAAAGATATTCAACCAAACCATTTGTATCGTGATGAAAATCAACCAAATTCATTTTACATACAAAATTATGTGCAAATCGTTCATGAGACCAATGAGTCACGTCTCGGAATGATCAATGATGATCGAGATCGAGAGAAAAAAGAATCCGGTTTTTCTTTATATGCATTCAATGCATTAGTCAGCGAACGACTTGGTTATCATCGTCAACATTTACCCGATACTCGACATGAATATTGTCGCCAATCTACCAGCAATATCGATAAAAACATATCCGACCCATTGAATACGACTGTGATAATATGCTTTTTTAATGAAGAATTCTTTACATTAATACGTACAGTAAATAGCATTTTTGCTCGTACACCGTCCAATATGTTGACAGAAATTCTTCTCGTCGATGATTCTAGTGAAAGTAAGTCAAATTCATTTTATTTATTGTGATGATATAATCTTTTATTTTTATCTTGTAGATGATGTACATTCTAAATATGAAGAATATCGAAACCATGAATCGATCGATTTTGCTGATGATTTTCGTCATAAAGTTCGATATATTCGTACACCTGAACGTTCTGGCCTGATTCGTGCACGTAATTATGCCGTACAATTTGCACGTGGTACCATTCTTTTCTTTTTGGATAGCCATTGTGAAGTGAATGTTGGATGGTTGCCACCGATACTTGAACGATTAACATATAATCGATCCATAGTTGCCTGTCCGATAATCGATCTGATAGATCCAGATACTTTTATTTATAAACCATCACCAATGGTACGTGGTGGTTTCAATTGGGCCTTACATTTCAAATGGGATTCCATTCCAAGTGATCAATTGATGACCAAAGAGGATTTTGTCCAACCCATAAAGTAAAACCATCGAATCAGGCTAAATTTACAATCAATTAATCAATTATTAATTGTAGATCGCCTGCAATGGCTGGTGGATTATTCGCCATTGATCGGCAATATTTTCAACAGCTTGGTACCTATGATTCCGGTATGAATATATGGGGTGCTGAAAACATTGAATTTTCATTACGGGTAAGCATTTTGTTTTCGGCTTTTTTTTTGGTTGAAATTCAATCATTAACATTTTTAAAACACTTTCAGATTTGGATGTGTGGTGGTCGATTGGAAATCATTCCTTGTTCACGTGTTGGACATATATTTCGTAAACGGCGTCCATATGATTCACCTGATGGCCAAGATACATTGGCTTATAATTCATTACGTGTAGCACACGTTTGGCTTGATGATTACAAGGTATGTGCAATGCAAGAGTTTTCAAACAAAAAATTAATTTCATAAATTTTTTTTTGACTTCTCAGAAATATTTTCTAAAAAGTCGTTCAGATCTGGCCACAATGTCATATGGAAATATTGAAGATCGAATTGAACTTCGTAATCGTCTTGATTGTAAATCATTCGATTGGTATCTCCATAATGTTTATTCCGATCTTTTGGATCAGATTAATAATCGATCATCGAATTCGATTCAAAACTCTGGAAGAAAAAATCCAAATCTATTTGCTCATAAACAGCCTAAAATATTAGATAAATTTCGAATTCGTTTGAATGGAACAAATTTATGTTTGGAATCGGAATCCGAACTTTCATATAAAAATTGTCATGTACACATGCAACAATGTTTACGATCATCAAGACGACAAATATGGAAACAAACCGATCTCAGTGAATTACGTATGAACATGAAAGGATGTCTGGATTCAGGATCACCAAATAAAATTGATATAATACGTTTGAATAAATGTCATCAGATGGGTTCAACACAAAAATGGTCATGGCCTACAATGAATTTGACCAATGAAAATTCAAAAGCAATACAAATCTATAATGATGGATCCGGTATGTGTTTATCAGTGAACACTAATGATCGATTCAAAGTGATTATGTCTTTCTGTACATCGAATAATAATATTGATAAATCATCTACTATTTTGAATCATTGGATTATAGTTCGGCATTGAATTTTTTTTTTTTTTGATTTTAATTGCTCAATTAATTTATCAGTATTTTTTAATTTAATTTTCTATTAATTTAAATAAATTAAAATTTTACCCGCCGAATGATTATCATCAAAGCTATTTCTTTTAAAAAAAATCACTTAAACTATTTCGATCCATCGAGGTTGTTTTTTTAATTCATTTTCTTTTGTGTGTAGTTGCGCGCTGTAGCCCTAATTCATATATTGAGAATGAACTATGGTATAATGGGGTATTCTGAGCCACTAAAGATCTATACACACAAACAATTGTAGAGAGGGAGTGTGTGTGTGTGACAAATATACAAACAGAGTAAAAGAAAGTGAACAAAATACATACAATAAACATATGGATTGATTGATGAATGGAAAACGAAATAATCTTATCGAAAATTACAGATAAATGAAAGTCAAATGGTCATGTGAATAAATAGTTTTTAATTTTAAAATTTTATTTTATTCAACATTTTAATTTAGATATAAATCAATGTTCGATATATATCAGTATTATTATTCACATTCAGATTATCATTGTCATTGTCATTATCATTAATAATTAAAAATGGATAAAAGAAAATCAATTTCATCAAGAAATCATCATTATGAAGAAGAAACAATTGATAAACGAATTTATCATCATCATCATCATCATAATCATCATCAACAACAACAACAACAACAACAACGTTCATTCAATAATGATAATTTTAGTCAATCACAAAGTTCATCAAGAATTCATGGCCATAGTAGTAGTCATCGTTTAGAACAAGAATTATATCGGCCACCTGGTTCACGAAACCAACATCATCATAATCAACCATCAGGCCATTATATGGGCCAAAATCATAATCATCATCATCATCGATCAACATATTATCATCATAATCGATTAACAAATTCAAATCGCCAAAATAATTTGAATCAATATTATCAACATCAACATAGTAATTATAGTCGAAAAGTGAACAACAATAACAATCCATCATCTGGATCATCATCCACATCATCTAATTCAAATTATAAAATTACAAAAAATCGTCATCATCACCATAGTGAAGATTCTGATCATAATTCACATAAAATCATGAATCAAACAAATGATCAAAGGCAATCGAAATTTGATCGATATGAACAAAATTTAAATAAATTCCAGAAATCTATGCAAACATATTCGCTCATTGATCAAAATTCAGTTATTGAACGATTTGATCTTCCCATTTATAGTTATTCAAAAAAATCAGAAAATTCTGAAAATCGTATGGAATTAATTCAAAGTATTAACAATCTAGTCTTAATTGATTCATTACGAAATTTGAGTCAAACAAAATCGAAATCTCAGTCAACAGCTGCATCGTCCACATCTTCAACATCGCCATCAAATATAAAACAATCATCAATTGAAGAAAAACCGGGCCTGATCGTTTTACCATCAAAAACGATGACATCGGCCGTATCTGAACAAAGTTCAACTATAATCACAGATAAAAGCAAAATGAATAATAAATCAGGTTCAAACGCCGGTATTATAAGATTAAATCGTGATACAATGCATCAATTATTGCAACGAAATTCAATGGATGAAAATACTCATCATCATCGACAACAATATTCACATCATTCAAATGACGAACATTCAATCATCGATCGATCGCCAAGAGAAAAACATAATAATACAATTACATCACAAATAGCAGCTGATTTTTATGAATTTGAAAATCTTCTCGATAGATTACGATATTATGGTGGTCGTCAGAATTGGCGTAATGGACCATCATTGCAAAAATTCTGTTATTCTGATCCGAATATTCAGGCAATTCGTATACGAATAATGAATGCTTGTGAACATTTATTGTTGATCGATTTGAATCGTTCAATCACACAAAATGTATTGCCCAATATATGGGAAATTTGTTTCTATGATTTCATACGAATCTATCGTCAAAATCATGGTGGCGAAGAACGGGCAACAAATTCAACTGGTTCATTTAATGAAAAAGAAATTCACGATACAAATCTTTTGTCAAAATTAGCTCGTGAAGGTCTTGATTATTTTGGTACATTATATCATCGTCTAATTGAAAAATATCAATTTCAATTAAAATCTTTATATGAACGTCATAAATATTATCGTTCGAATCCATCATTGTATTCTCATTTACATGATATAACATGTGTGGTGAAAATCATTTTCATATATCTTGGTGATTTATGGCGTTACATAGAACTGGTTCCTCCACCATCATCATCATCCGTTAGCCATGGAAATCAGCTAAATAGTGGTCATTTTGTTAATTCTAAAAAGTAAGTCGAAAAAAGAATCTTTTTTTTTGGAAAATCATTATTTCATTTTCATCAATAGCTATTACATGAAAGCCCATATGTTGGTACCGAAAAATTCGCACATCTGTTCACAGTTGGCGTTAGTATCGTTTTATCAAAAAAATTATTTCGATGCTATTTATTATTCAATCATATCATTTGAATACGATATTCTACATGATCGATGTTCGAATCGTTTTCGATCGAAATTCATTCGTGTACAATCGAATCGTCAGAATCTTCTTGTTTATTTCGATTCAATACGATCGTTGCATATGAAAATGATATCGACAATTCGTCGTGATTATGATCAAACAATGGAACGTGAAAAATTACAAAGACAACGTCTTGAACGTGGCCATAGCCGTATTAATAAAAATTATCGTATTGAATATTGGGTACGACCAGATCGTACTATAGCCAAATGTGATATGTATAATTTTTATGATCTAGCTGCTGTTGTCAGCCGTAATGAATCGGAACCTGATTTATTGAAATTCTATGAGAAATTTATTCTCAAATCGCCAGCGACAGCAACAACAACCACAACGACAACAATGATGTTGGCCAAATCACAATTCAAAGATCTTAAAGATCGTTTTACATTATCATTTTTGATGGTACATGCTATGCTAAACCATCGTGTTGGCCTCGATCGATTTTATGATGTTGCCAATCAGATGATATTAGAATTTGATTCAGTTATCAATCGATCATCTGATCATGATAACCATAGTCATAATAATAATCGTTTATCACCCTTTTTTCTCATTCAATTATTCGTAATCAATATGTATAGTGTGGCCAATACAATGGATGACCATAATCGTGACCATCATCAATTACAATGTAAGTTGATTCCTGATTTTCATTTCTATTTTCATATAACCAATTTTATTCATTTAGATGCCGCCTATTATGGTTTCACACAAACAAATTCCTATTTTATCATGTCTACAATGATATCGATGATTTTGAAACGTTTGATTCATTTGTTTGAAACATTCCGTCATCATCATCTTGATCTCTTGGAATCAATCAATTCATCAACATCAATGGCTAAAGGACAAATATCCAGAAAATTATCCAATGAACCAGAATGTATTGATGATTGTTTTGGTTCCATTTATCATACAATGATCACAAAGAATCCTAGCTTGGAAGTTCAACAGGAATGGTTTGATTTTTATTCTTTTCTACCATGTGTAAAGTTATGGTCCGATTGGATCATATCATTTAATCCGTATTTTCCTCCACAAGAAATGAATGATATTAAAACACCTGGGTAATTATAATTAATTTTTTAAATTTGGGAATATCAAATTTTAATAATTTTTATTACATTAGAATCGATCAAAATGTATGGCAAATATTTGCACAATTTCTCACACAACTACATCAGATCAAACAATATCCAGTCGTTTTTTATTCAGATCAAAAAAGTAAACATCATTTATCGCTTTCGTCACCAAAATCCTCTGATCTTGATCAAAATGAATATGAATTGGTTCAATTGCCGGAAGATAGATTTTTAGATGGTTTCAAAATTCTTCGTGACACACCTGAATCATCTAAATTTGTTCATACTCCATTCGTACTGGAAATTGCGTACATTTATATGCGTATTGAAAGTATTAAATTATTTGGTGATTATCTTTGCGGTCTTCAATATCCGTATCTACGATTTGATACAAAAAATTTTACATTCGAATCATTAATCAATACGGATGATGTTGAAAATCAACCAGGAATCAAGTTGAAACAAATTCAACAACGACAATTGATGGAAGCAATGAACAGAGATAAAAATAATCAGATTATTGCCAATAATAAAAGCGATGGCGACAATGATGACGATGATGATGATGAATGCTATTCAAATGATGAAGAAGCAATTAGAGAGATGAATGATTTGAATCTAAATCCAATGGAACGACGAAAATTGTTACAATATCGAATGTTTCGCCAACAAAATCGACAACATGGCCGTTATTTTCGTATGATTGAACATATTCATGAACCGAAACGTCGTTTTATTATTATTCCACGTTATGTTATATTCGATACGAATTGTTTCATAAATGATCTTCATTCGATTATGAAATTTGTCCATAACAAATCATTCATCGTAGCTGTACCATTAATAGTGGTACAAGAACTTCAATCAATGATGGCACGTGGACAACGTCTACAAGTTTCAAAATCATCCGAAGATATCAATAATGATGAACAACAAGAATCAATGAATTTACGATATAAACAGCTGGCAAAAAAATCAGCTGAGATACTTGATTGTTTACAGAAAGCGTTCGATTCGAATGTGGAAAATATTCGAGCCATTACAAGTAAAGGATCCTTATTAGATCGTATTGATTATAAAGAAGAATCGAATGATAATTCAGTAAGTATTGAATGATTGGATTAATTTTTTTCAATTAATCTACTTCTCTTGTTTTTTCTTACTATTCTTACTAGAATGCCGTTAATAATGATGATCGTATACTATATGGATGCGTTAGTTTAGTCGAAAAAGATAATCATCATGTTAATGATGAACAAATTGATGATAAATGGATGCGTAACTTGTTGAAAGATGCCGGTGAACAACAGTTAACCAATCAAGGTATGTCTTTTGTTTGAAAAATTAATTTTTTAATTTTGTTTTTTTTGCGAATTTAGACGAATTTATCCATCGTAATGTAATACTCATCACAGACGATATGAATTTACGTATCAAATCATTAGGCTATGATATACCGGTTAAAAAATTTAAACAATTCCGTAAATGGGCCAGTACTTTGGATAATCATCAGCCACAAGCACAACAACCATCACCACCACTACTACGAAAAAAATCACAACAATCTACTTAGATTTAATCACCATCATCATCATCATTTATTAATCATCAACTTTGACCTTTGATCCCTTGAATCCACCGGAAATTTCAGCCATATATTTTTTTTGTCGTTAAAAAAATTCTGTTGTTGAAAAATATTCAAATATATTTTATTCAAATGAATGTATTTTTAAAAAAAAAATAAACAAAACGAACAAGAGAAAAATTCATTATTAAAATGGAAAAGTTTTCTTTTACTTTCTATTTCTTAGGATCTATGTATCGATTGATAGATGGGGATGATTTTGTTTTTCTCTATTGATGAACTTGATTTTCAATTTTTTTTCCCAATTATAAACTCGTAATATTTGGCCATTGGTATCTAGAACATTTCTACAGATGATGATAATGATGATGATGATGATATATTTGGGTTATGTAAACGAGAGAAAATGAGTGAGGAAAAAATTGATAACCTAAATTTTTTTTTGTCACTCTGGTCGTCTGGACATTTCAATTGTTTTTGTTTCGTTGTGATTTATATATAGATTAATCGATGTCACTGGGTTAGAGCCGAATGAAAAAACGACCAAAATAATCGCATTATGGACAATTTGTATACGCGTGTTAGTTTTTGTTTTTGTTTCTAGTCTGACCAATTTCAATTGGCGATAATCTGATATATGATGATGATGATGATGATGATGATTGAGAGATGAATGAAATTTTTCCATCACAGCTTACTATTGTTCATCTATATATATATCATAACCATGACGATTGATTGATGTCAATCAATTGCATTTTTTTTATGTTTCTTGCTTTCTTTTTTTTTGTTTATTTATGATTTTTGTTTTCATTTTTTTTCAAATCGTAATTCATTGCCCCTTTTTTTCCAAAAATCAAAACAAAAAAAAAATTTTCTTTTGTTTGATTGATTTAAACAACAACAACACATCAATTGACTATTTCTGTTTCCTATACATCACTACTCATTTGTTAAATAGCAAATGTGTTTGTGTATGTGTGTGTATATGTATCGGTGTTCAATTGAATTACAGTAGTAATGTTTAAAAAAAAAAAAAAAAAATAATCTGCCCATATATATCGATTTAAATCATCTGCTTTCGCCATCACCATCATCAATGACAATCAGATATATATACTGTATATACGGTAAAATAAAAAAAAACATTGACTAAATCAATGTTATTGCAAAATTTGCCATCAATCAATCAGTCAATATCGATATCGATATCGATCAAATTTAAAATGTTTAATAGCTAATAATAATAAAAACCTGAGAGTCATAAAAGTAGTAGAAATGAATAAAGAAAGAAAATAAATTTATTTTTTTGCTTATTTACTACCTTATCAGATCTATCTATCCTTCCATTCATTAGGCCACACACACACACACACACACACACACATACCTAAACAAATTGTCATTGATGAAGAACTTTGGTCAATCACTTAAGTTTTTTTTTTGATTGTTTTCATCGATGACAATTTCAATTTTTCTCCAATTAATTGATTGATTGACTGATTGCAATTTAATTTAATTATATTATATTGGCTGCTCTTTTTTTTGGCAGATTTTTTTTTATTTCCAATTGAAAAGTTTTGTTGGCATTTTAAATTTTTTTCTTTTTGTTGCTGTTTAAAATCAATTCATTGGTCAACGTTGCTCAAAACAAAACAAAAAAAAATAATGAATTCTAATGAGCATCAATCAAATTCATCACAGCAAACAAAAAAATTCAAACATCAACCATGTTCCGGTGTGTTTCGTTCCGAAGAGATGTTGTTATGTCAACTATTTCTACGATCAAACGTTTCATTTGAAACTACATGTCGTCTTGGCGAATTGGGTAAGTTTTGTTTTCACATTCTTATCACATTCATCATGATTTTTTTTTCGATTTCCAAAATTTTTTTTTTTTTTCTTATTAATTTCATACAATTGAAGGAATCGTTGAATTTCGTGATCTAAACGCCGATCTAAATGCATATCAACGAAAATATGTCGATGAAATCAAACATATTGGTGAAGTTCAACGTAAATTAATTTATCTGTCACAACAATTGCAGAAAAGTGATTTGCCTATTGTCAAGCCGATTGGTGATCCGGCCATACCGAAATATAAGGAAATTATTGCATTAGAAAATCAGATTGAAAAATTGGATAATGATCTACGTGAAATTAATGAACATCTATATACACTACGTTTGGAACGATCAGAATTGGTGGAAATGTCAATGATTTTGGCTAAAACAAATCAACTACTTGAAACAACACGTAGACAGCAGCGAGCATCTTTCAATGGACAATACCCGATTACCGATTCAGGTAATCAAAATCAGGCATTAGATCTGGATCCTGAACAATCATCGATTGGTGTTCCCAAACAACCACAAAAACAAGGATTCGAATGTAATAAAATCTATACAATAACTGGATTATTGCGAGCTGAAAAGGCACTTGCATTTCGTAAAGTTATATGGAGGGTTTGTGGTCAGAATGCATTGGTACAATTTTTTGATATTGACAATCCAATCGATGATGCAAAAGCTGAAGAATTTGTACAGAAAAAAGTTTTTCTTGTCATGTGTCAAGGTGATAAATTGTATGGAAAAATTGAGAAAATTTGCAACGGTTTCCATGCATCGAAATATCCATTGCCCGATGATGAAGATCATTATCGACTTTTGTGTCTGAAAGTCGAACAGGATCTAAAAGATATTCAGTTGGTTATCGAAAAAACCAGTCAACAGCATTTGAAAATATTGACAGCCGTTGCTCAGCCGAAAAACTTTCCCACATGGATGGTACAAGTGACAAAACTTCGTGCCATATTCACCACAATGAATTTGTATCAAAAAACAGAGAAAGGTTTCCTTGCTGAAGGATGGTGTGCTCGTAGTGATTATTATCTACTAAATGGTATCATACAAGAAATCAATGATCGTGCCGGTATTCTTGGCCAAGCTGTTGTTGAAAAAGTGTCTACAACAAGTACACCACCTACATATTTTCGTTTGAATCGTTTTACACAAGGATTTCAAAATATTGTCGATTCATATGGTATGGCTACGTATCGTGAAATGAATCCAGCACCATATACAATTATTACATTTCCATTCCTATTTGCTATGATGTTTGCCGATGCTGGCCATGGATTAATAATGATGTTGTTCGGTTTATGGATGGTACTATATGAACGAAAACTTAATGGCAAAAGTAATAATGAAATATGGCTCACATTTTTTGATGGCCGTTACATCATTCTATTGATGGGTGCATTTTCCATTTATACTGGTTCCATATATAATGATATTTTTGCTAAAGGTTACAATCTGTTTGGTACATGTTTTGATTCACATGCAACAGAAATCAAACTATACGATGATTTAATCATAGCTAATAATGGCAGCCATAACAGTAACGATACTGTATTCAATAAGAAATTAGAAATTTACATACCAAAAGGTGATCGATCATATCCATATGGTATTGATCCAGCATGGCAAATTTCATCAAACAAAATTATATTTTTAAATTCATTCAAAATGAAACTTTCAGTTATTGTCGGTGTTTTACAGATGCTTTTCGGTGTAATGATTTCACTTTGTAATCATATCAATGCTAAAAGTTGGACATCGATTGTTTTTGAATTTATACCACAGTTAATATTTTTACTTTCATTATTTGGCTATATGATAATATTGATATTTGTTAAATGGTTACGTACATGGTCACCACCATCAAATGCACCATCTATTCTTATTGATTTTATCAATATGTTTTTAATGAAATATCCAAATGAAAATGAACCACAAACCATTTATCTTAATCCATGGTATCCACATAAACAAGAAATACAGACCATATTATTGATATTGGCATTATTACAGGTTCCAATCATGTTATTAGTAAAGCCAATAATTAAAGTATTTTTCAGTAATCGTCAAAAACGACAACCAGCTAATATTGAAGAATCGACATCAAATAATCAACAACAACAACAACAACAAGGTGATTCTAATAATCACGAAGAAAGTACTGGTGATATATTCACACATCAAGCCATACATACAATTGAATATTGTCTTGGTTCAATATCACATACAGCATCCTATCTACGTTTATGGGCATTATCATTGGCACATAGTCAATTATCTGAAGTACTTTGGCAAAGAGTAATGCATGCTGGATTTGCAACGGAAAATTCTAATCTAATTATTCGTGTCATTATGACATATCTAACATTTGGATTATGGGCAGTATTAACCATTGCCATATTGATTGTAATGGAAGGATTATCAGCATTTTTACATGCATTACGTTTACATTGGGTTGAATTTCAATCAAAATTTTATACTGGTGCCGGTTATGCATTTCGTCCATTTTATTTGAAAAGAATTCTAACCGAAACAAATATATTGATTGAATAGATAAATACTAGATTTGTTTTTTTTTCTATTTCGTTATGAATGAAAATCATTTTTTTTCTCTCTCTCTCTCACTAATTTTATTATTTTATATTATTTTCCATTTAAACTAGAACAAATTTATATTCAACAACAAATCATTTATAGACAAGAATTTTGTTTTGTTAATTTATTCATTTTTGAAATTTGAATTAAATCAATTAAAAATTGACAAAAAAAAATGATTGCTGTTATTGGTTTTTTTTTGTTGGTACAGTGCAAATTTTTTCTTTTCGATTTTCCAAATGATTTGATTGATGGCCATTTACTTCGTTACAATTACATTGAATCACACACACACATACACACATGATTGCTTTTTTTTGTTAAATGAATCAATCGATCGATTAATTGATTAATTTATGAAATGATAAACATGGGTTAAAATCAGATTTTTTTTACATATCAATCATGTTTGTAATTAATAATATATACCATGTTTACAATCAATTGAACATATATATATTCTAATTGTTTTTCTTGTAATTTTTTTTATATTGCCTTCTATTGCATATAGTTGCAAATTCATTACAGTTAAATTCACTTCGAATTGATTCGAAAATGAAGAGCAAAAAAAAAAAAAAAAAAATAATCAATTTTTTCCCGAGATTTCAAAGTTTGAATAAATTGGTCTCGCGCCCGTAAATTCGAATTGCAATTCACTGCAGTAGCTTATCTCTTTATACACACACACACACACACACTCAGTCGGCTTTGTTCTATTTGTGAATATCCGTTTCGTAAACGATGCCGATAAATATACATGTAGCTTGAATTTATTAAAATTCGTCGACCAAAAAAAAAGAAGAAAAAAAACTAACGTCGAACTTTGTTTTTGAGCCAATTTTCGCCATATCCAATTTTCATTCATGACTCTCAAGAACCATTCTCTTATCTAATCATAAATGCAGCCTATTTGATTGATTGATTGATTGATTGATAGCTAATGATGATCAAAGATCAAAATACAATACAAAACAAACAGGCTGAATGATGTTGTCATGCTTGGGATTTTTTGTTTGCCAATAGTTTCAGTTTTCAACAATCAATTGTGGCGGTCTAACTGATTTTTGATATATAAATACGATGAATAACGATCGACAATCGTTGTCATTCTTCTTTTTTTTTTTTTTAATGAAGGTTTTCCAAATTTTTTCTTAAAATTTTTTTTACACCTCACAATGGCTACATCAATTATTGATTTAGAATCATCGTCTTCGACGACAACAACGACAACTATTGGCCATGGTAATTGTCATTGTCAATTACCATGGACAATGGTAACTCCTTGGTCTCTTGATTTGATGGATTCCGAAAGTAATGATCAATGCTACACGAATGATGATGATGATCATCATCATTCCAAATCGTTGAAGATTGTTACATTCAAAGTGAATAAACATTTGAATTCAAAAATCATTCTCTGGAATGGCTGTTCAAGTTCAATGTTACGATTAAAAGTGGATGCCATTGTTCATCCAACCAATGAACGTTTTGAACGTGGATCAAATCCATTAACAAATGCATTGTACAAACATGCCGGTGCTGAACTACGTAAAACTCTTTATAATAAATTAAAATATTGTCCAATTGGATCGATTAAAATAACCAAAGGGTAAGAATTGATTAATTAATGTTAAAATCTTTAATGGACAAATTTTTTTCAATTTAATTCTTGTTTTTTTTAAAAAAAAACCTTCATATTTATAGTTATTCAATTGCTGCCTATTATATAATTCATACAGCCAGTCCTCATTATAAATGCAAATATCATTCAGCGTCAGAAACTGCCTTATTTAATTGTTATCTACATGTATTACAAGCGGCTAAACATTACAATATTCGTACATTGGCCATTGGTAATCTAGCATTGAAAGAACATCATTATCCAGAATTGGATGGCATTCATCTTGGTATACGTGTCATACGACGATTTATGGAATCATATCCGGATGCATTTGATACAATAATATTGTGTATGCAAAATGAACATGAATATGATCTTTATCGATCAGTGTTGAAATTATATTTTCCACGTAATCATCATGAAGAACAGATGGAATCATCATTGTTACCAGCTAATAATGGTGGTCCAATGGGCGAACCCATCATACCGGAACGAGCAATACGTATTCAAGAAAATCCTATTAAAAGTTTACAAGAAATTAATGATTCCGGATTGGATGATAGTTGTGATGATCTTTGTGCTTATTCATATTCATCAAGCTATTCAACTGATGCTAATGGTCAAGGTACCGGTAGTGATATTAATATCGATGAATGTCGTGAAAGATTGATCGAATTGAAATATCAACAAGAATTTGATTATACACCATCATTACCCTCATCACCAATGAAACGTTCATCGTCATTTGTGACGTCATTTTTTCATACAGGAAACAATCATCATAATCATCATCATACACAAGAACATTATAGTTCAATGGAAAGTATGGCCTGTCCATCATCGCCTTCATTCACGCGTAATCAACATCATAATCATCATCATTCATCGACGAATGTGCAAAATCCACATCATTTCGATGATTATGATCAACAGGATCAATTTATGCTTATTGAACATAAAAGACAATTGAAATTTGAACGATTATTACGAAAAATACGGCGACAAGAAAAAGATTTATCGGAAACGGTTCGTGATAGGCTACAGGAATGTATTTACATTTCTAACATCACCAAAGATGATGATAATAATAATAATAATGATTCCGTTCTCATCATAATCGGTCGAGAATTAGCCAATCTTTTCCATAATGAATTGGATGGCCATTTTGATCAGATTATTGCTCATATTGTTAAGATGTTGGATAAAATATGTCGTACTGGCAAAAAATATTCGGTCATCTATTTCCATACAATGGCTGATAATGTTGAACCGATTATTGTGCCAAAAAATCAGCCACCAAAAACTCAACTATTATCACGTTTATATGAATTCATTTCACATCAACATCAGAATTTATTGCAATCATTCTTTGTGGTACATCCATCCGTATTCAATCGGCTTTATGTTTGGTGGCTAAAAACATTTCATTGTAAATTTCTAAAGGATAAAGTACAATTCATACAACGATTAGAACAACTATCGGTCCATATTAATCGAAAACATCTAGAACAATTACCAACATTCATTATGGAATATGAACCTAAATCGAATGCTACGTCATTACAACTATCATCATCATCATCATCATCATTGTTACCAGAAAAATCAAATACTACGACTTGTTGAATTGTAATTTTAGAATTTTTGAATAGTAATATTAATATTATTATTATTATTATTAGTAATGTTTTCATGTTGAAAATAAAAAAAAAAATCCAATCCATTTCCATTCAATCAGATATTTTTTTCATTTAAATCAGCAGAAAAAAAATTCTATAAAAATGAAAATCGATAATTTCTTCTTCCAGATATGACTCAATGAAAGACTAACCTAATCATCAAAGAGAGAGAGAGAGAGAGAGAGAGAGAGAGAGAGAGAGAGAGAGAGAGAGAGAGAAAAAAACTCTTGATGCACGAAATTTGATATCGACAATCATTCAGAGATCAATGATCAATGTCGCAATCATCATCATCATCATCATCATTTTTTTTGTATTGATTAATGAAACATTTTTATTGATCATTATCGATCATTATTCAAGTTCATGTGTTCGAGAACACATGGGAAAAACCAGACAAATCGAACGAAAAAAAAACATTTATGGAATTTCCATCTATGCACATATTACATTTGATGATTAGTGAGAAAATAAAACCAAAAAATTAATGAGAAGCAAAACGGATGTATTTTAAAAAGTTTTATTTTATCATCATCATCATCATCATTTATATAATCAATATGATAAAACAAACAACAACACAGAAAAAAAAAAATCAGACCAAATGGCGTAAAATGAATGAATAAATGACGGTCTGAATTTTTCGTGTGTGAAAATCCGTAGATGAAAATTTTCAAAAAAAAAAAAAAAATTCCGAAAAAAACATTTTGTTCATTCAATGGATGTGAATAAAGTGCTGAAACCACCAGGTAAAATGTCAATCAATGTATGTAGATGATTCATTCAGTGTATGGATGTGTAATATTGAAATTATGCCTCCCCCAAAAACGATGAAAAAAGAGACAGATAGAATTTTATTCTTTTTTTTTGCAGATTATACATGATGATGATTTAGTGTAAACAAAACAAAACAAATTTGAAATTGAATTTGATTGATTGGTGATCGATACAAATTTTTTTCCCCCATTATTGTGTTGCGATTGATTTATATTTTGTTGTTGTTGTTGTTGTTGCCGTTGTTTTCACTTTGAGATACATCCAGATTTGGTATGAATCCTCTGGATTTCATATAGCCTGTTTATTGAAAAGAAAAAAAATTTTATTATTATTTTAAATTTAAATTCATTAGACAAAAAAAATCATAAATACCGGTCATTTGATCAGGAATTTCGGCTAATACTTCACGTGCAAGATCAGCCTGTGATCGAATGTATGGTCCAGTTTTCGAAATAAATTTATTTAATGGTACAAATTGAACGATATCACGTTCAGCATAACGACCATTCACCGATAGCCGTATATCATCGGAATCTAATTCATCCATTGCGGCAAAATCTGCATTACCAACACCAACAATAATGATTGAGATTGGTAATTTTGATGCATCAATAATGGCATTTTTTGTTTGATGCATATCCGAAATAATACCATCGGTTATTATAAGCAGTATAAAATAATGTTTTCCATCTTGAAATTTTGTTGCAATTTGTGTTGTATTATGTATGACTGAAGAAAAATTTGTTGGACCATAAAGCGTTACATTTGCCAGACAATTACGATAATGGGAAAGAATTTCCGATATACTTGAACAATATGGATGTGATGGATTGCCATTCAATGCAAATTGATGTGATACATCACCACTAGGAGGAATACGAGCACCAAAACCGAATGCCGGAAACATTCCAGCTGAATCGTATTGTTGAATAATTTCACCAACAGCTCGTAGAGCTATTTCATATGGATTCGGTTTTCCACCGAAAATATCAAGAAAATGTAATGAATGTGGATCTCTAGGTGGTCCATTTGATGCGGTAAAATCAATGGCAACGGCAAAATGCATTTGAGTGCCCGATTTAATGTAATCGATGAATGTAATTTCTTCAGTGACGGTTATCTCTTTCAATATAAGATGACCACAACTATCGGATGGTTGTTCCACACCATTCACTGGTATAATTGTTGCTTTACGTTTACCAGTCTCTGTACCGGTTGCAATATTATCGAAATTGTTTTTATTATTATTAACACGATTACTACCACTTGAAAATGGTGATGAACTAGTTGAGGAATGATGATGGCTCGGAGTTTTAGGTGGCTGCAACAAGAATCGTTTGTTAGCCGCTAATGATACATAAACATTGCGATTAGATGTGGCTGGTGCCGTCATCGATGATTGTGTCGTACATAGTTCACGAAGCGATGTATAACTGGTACCGATAAGAACATGTTTACCACTGGATCGTGAATCATAGCAATCAATTTTAATTGTACGATCATAATCACCATTACATAGTGTACGAACACGCATCGTAATCGGTAACCATAATGGACATTTTGATGAACGAACTGGTTCAGATTTAATAACCACTGAGAAAGTACCATCTTCATTTGAACGTGAAATTACCAGAAATGGATCCGGTCGGAATATACCACAAATGGAACGAGGTAGATTGTCAGCTGCAAAATGCATCTGAACAATTTGTTTACAACTAGATAGCTCTTCTGTTACAATAATTATTGTACCAGAATTTTTATCCGGCATACCGGAAAGTGTACGAATGTATTGTCTTGATGCAAATGAAACAATTTCAGCTAATGTTGTTTCATGATAACCAAGAAATTCTTTATCATCCGGATCTTGATCCCAAACTTCAAAACGAATTTTTTGTACAGTTTCAAAATTATAATCAATTATAAATTTTTTCACCCATTCTGGATTCAATGAATCAAGAATAGTTTCCGTACGGCCTAATTCATAAAATTTTTCTTGCCATGAATCTTTCATTAATACTAGGCAAAATGGATCGGATTTTGATAAAATGTCACGATTCATTAATGAACGACATGAAATGGTCATTTCAATTTTACTTGTTGGCATTATGGCACGTCCACCACCAATCGATTGTCTTTGTTGTGCTTGCTGCTGCTGTTGTGTTGTTGTTGTTGTTGTTGTGGTTGTTGACCCGGTATTGATGTTGAAGACATTGTTATTGTTGTCGATGTAGGTGGTTGAATTGTTGATGTTAATAAAGGATTATTTATGGCCATTGGTGATTGTAATGGCGCCGAAGGTGATGAAGTAGCCATAGCAGTTGAATGTATCTGCTGCTGCTGCTGCTGTTGCTGTTGATTTTGATAGGGGTATTGATATTGACCACCATCAATAATATTTGGTTGTTGATTCATATATGTGTGGATTTTTTTTTTTTGATTTTATCAGCTGTAAAATATCAATAAAATAAAATTTTTATTTTATCGAAATTTTCAAACGTTTCATTCAAATATTTAAAAATATTTGCCTCAGTAGCGATCAAATGATTGGCACAAACAACAATTGATTGATTATTAGACATTATAACAACGATGATGATGATGATTATGATGATAGGCTCATTTGACTTGGCCAATTTTCGATTAAATTTTTTTCAAATTAATCATCAACAATTGACATCATCATTTTTTTTATTGTTTTAGAACAAATAATAAAAAAAAACACATACACAGATATTTATTTCATCGACCATCATCAATATATATGTATTTGTTGCTCATAATAACTAAATATATAATAATCGAAATAACATCGTAGTTACCATCGATATTTTGTTGTCATTGTTGTTGTTGTTGTTGATAAGAATTTCAATCATTAATAATTGGATGAAACGCACATAGAAACAAACAAATAAACAACACAACAGAACACAATAAAAACACTTGAAATTTTTCTCAATAATATTTTGGGTTTGGTTGGTTTTTTTTTGTAGCAGAGCATCAAATCAAAAAAAAAAAAAAAAAAAGGCTACCCCTGTTTTTTTTTCTTCTTTTGTTAAATATTATTATGTCATGAATACATAATAATGTCCAGTGTTTTTTTTTCATATATAATAATAATAATAATAATAATAAATAATAATATTGATTGATGCGTCAAACGATGCTGTTAACGAATGAATAGTTGTTGTTGTTGTTGTTATCGTTATTGTTGTTGTTGTTGTTATTAGTGATGACAAAAATAGTTGAATTATTACAGATATATATAATAGAAAGCAAGAAAAAAAAATTATTTAGAACATCAAAATGGACACATATAGAAAGAAAGAAAAAAATTCGTTCAATACAGTTATTTGTCTGTATATGAGAATGTGAATGTTTGTGTATGTTTGTTTGTTGCTGAATTTTTGTTTTGTTTTTCATTCTTTCTGTCGTCACACACACACACATACACACAGAATTAATGTTTTTTTTTCATCGTACATATATATATATATATATACAGAGAAAATTAGCCTCCTCATTTGAGGGTGAGCAATGTACAGTGAAAAATATATAAGAATTTTATTTTCAAACTAACACCAAAAATTTTTTTTTTTTTTGCAAATGCTTACCCACAAAATATTCGCTACTTACGCTTTACGAATTTTTTTCCACTTTTTGTTTTCAATATACTAGTGGTGGCTATTAAATTTGGATCTTGCGTACAAATATAACAAACATACAGGGAGATGGATGAGAATGGAATCAGGCAAAATAATTTTTTTTTTCTTCTTCTTCTTTTTGCACCATCCATAAAATCCAACTATTATAAATCGAATGAAAGAAAGAATGAAAGAACTAGAGAATGAGAGTAGAATATATTGTTGTTGGTTTTTGATGATGAATTTATTTTTGTTGTTGGTTAGAACCTATAGTAAAAAAAAAGATACGGCATCCAATTGTATTGTATTGTTTGTAGCCTAGATTCTGTTCTAGGATGCTATTCAATATTTCATTTGAATCAATTCGGGTTTTTTCCTTTCCATTCTCTTTTACACACGCACTCTCTCTCTCTCTCTCTCTCTCTCTTTTGGACTGGTTGACACATTGAAACAACCCAAAATAGTGTGTGTGTGTGGATAATGGCCGATCAAGATGAACCAAATAACCAGAAAGAAATAAACAAAACAAAAAAAAAAAGAAAGAAATGATGAGAAAGGAAAGTATTATTTGTTTCGTAATGTTTATGGTATTCATAAATATATACACACACACACACACAAACAAATAGAGTAGTAATAGTTGCAGCAGTAGAGGCAAAAATGATTGTTACTGTTAATATTCGATATATATATAGAATCTATTTCTCTAAGAATGCGCTGGCGCCAGGTTGTTTTTCAATTCTCAAAATATTCTTGGTGACCATATTCCATATTTCATATTTTGTTTTGTTTTAATCTCCAGTCATGAGTTTGCTATAGAATAAAATGAAATTCACCAAGAAAACAAGAAAACAAAAAAAAAAAAAAAGAGTTCATCGTTCCAAAACAAAATAGAAAAAAAAATTGTTAAATGCATTTGACAAAAACAAATCTTGATTGTGTTTGTTTGTTTGTTTTTTTTTGCTGTTTTCGTTTTTTTTTCTGGATCAAAATGACAAGTTTTTTCCATGTAAAAAAAAAATGAAAGGATTTTGGATTTTTTTTTCTGTTCTGTTTCAAACAGTTTTTTTTATTTTGAATATGATGAAAGACAGATGATGATGATGATGATGATGATGTTGATGTGATGGAAAACAAAATGTCGATGAATAGAATGAATAATAATTATCATTATCATTATATTTGGATTATAATTGAATGAAAATTTTCATTTTTCATTTTCACATTAATGATTAGGCGATGTAACACCACGACGTGCTACTAATAAATTTAACACTTTACGTGTATGCATAAAATTAACAGCCTGTTTATGTGTACACATTGTAAAATCCATTCCATTACATCCGAGTATTTTATCGCCAAATTGTAATCCAGCACGATATGCTGGTGCTTCATATTGTACATTTGTTACATAGATACCATGATCAGGAAAATTATGTGGTGATTGACGATAATCTTGATCAATACCACCACCAATGGAGAAACCAGAATAATAAAATCGTTGTTTTGTTTCTGGATTATAAACTTCGTCTTTTTCTAGACATATCATTAGCTAATAATTTTTATAAATCATTGATTGATTAATTTAATTTAATTAAAAAAAAAAAATTTAAAATCAAACATAATAACATACCGAAAGACATTCGATCGGTGCTCCAGGTTGATGTTCAAAAGCCATCATTTAATATAACAAAATGGAAACAAAAACAAAAAAAAATCATTTGAAACAAAAATTTTAGTAGAAAAAAAAACAAAATTAAAAAATGAATTCAAAATGGACATGACAACGATAACAACAAGTGGTATGAGTCTGTATATATATTATGTATATGAATAACATAAAACACTCACATGCTCATAATAATATATGCTCACATATATATTGGCAACAAAAATACAAGATGCAATGAAATAGGCTTGGCTTGGCTCGTCGTCTCGTCTATCATCATCATCATCATTACCGTCATAAATGGCCACTACCAACCCACCGACCACAATTATCATCCACAAAAATTAACGGCACACAAAATATATTTTCAAAGGATAATAATAAATTAATGAATGATGATGATGATTGAAAATCAATATTATATTAATTATTATGACTCAAAGTTTTTGATTTTATTTTTTTTTTTTTTTTTTTTTTGGTTTGAAACAAATTGAAACAACTTTGGCGTTTATTTTACTTTTGATTGCAAATTACAAAAATGATTTGATTTTTAAAAAATTTTTTGCTTGTTTTTTCTCTAAATTTGAATTACCAAATGGAAATTTTAAAAAGTCACATTGATGTTCCTATGATAATGATTGATTCATTTGGAACTAATGGTTCCATACTGTTTCAATATTGAATCAAATATCGATTGAATGGCAGCAAAAACTTGATTGGTTTTTTTCGATGCATCAATAGTGGATAAGACATTTTTGGCACCATAGAATTGTACCAATGGCGATGTTTGTTGATGATAGGCAGCCAATCGTGTTTTTAATGATTTTTCATTATCATCTGATCGTCGTTTTAATGGTTCACCGGTTATCTAATGATTAATTGATTGATCAATGTGTTATTCAAATTATTATTTATTATTGATATTATTTGTATTGAAACTTACATCATCGGTCATTGGAACTTTAGGTGGATTGAATACTTCATGATAGGTACGTCCACTTTTTTCATGCAACAAACGACCAGTGATACGTTTGATGAGCAATGAATCATCAATTTTAAATTCAATCACTGAATGTAATTGACTTTTACGTTTTTCGAGCAATTCGTCAAGCTATAAAGAATTTTGATTTATTTTAGAATAATCATCATCGTCATCAGAAACAACATACTTTTTTAGCTTGTTCAACAGTGCGAGGAAAACCATCGAGCAAGAATCCACGAGCACATGCCGGTGAATCGATATTTGATTCAATCAATTGAATGACCAATTGATCATCAACCAGTTTACCTTCACTCATTATGGATTTGACTGTTTTACCAAGCTCAGAACCGGATGCAATTTCGACACGTAACATATCACCAGTAGCCAATTGACAAACACCATATCGTTGTTTAACCATTTGTGCCTGTGTACCTTTACCGGCACCCGGTGGACCAAGAAATATTGTATTCAATCGTCCCATTTGTGATGATGAAGATCGTTCATATGCTTGAAGGCCACGTAACTGTTTACCTTCACGATCATCATCAGTTAAATTTTCTCGTGGTCGAAGTATTGGTTTTGTTGCCATTTTTGATTTAAAAAAAAACTTTTATGCACCGGTTTAAACTAAATCATAGAAAAATGAGACCATCCAATGAATGAATTGATAGGAAAATGAACAACAAAAATGAAGATAAACAACAATGTATGATACTTACCAAGATTTTATGGTTCAAATCTACTCAATAATTTGAATGATATCGATCGAATGAATTTTTTCTTCTTCGTTTTCGAAGGACGACCAAATAAAAAAAAAAAAATTTCCTTTACCTACTTTTACACAACAATCAACAACGATCAAATGGTATGCGTGGTGCTATCGCATTCAAACACGAACAGTGGTTGTTGTTGTCATCGTCGTCGTGGTTACCGGAAAGATTCTTTTTCAGATTTTCGAATTTTTTCTTAATTTCGAGAAATTTTCTACCAACAAAAAAAAAACAAACTCATTGCCATAAAATTAACATATTTCAAAAAATAAAAACAAAAAATAAATAAAAAAAATTCAATTCAATTTTGCAATTTAAACTCCACCTGGAGGTTAAAATGGATAACTGGCTAGTAAATTGGAAAAAAAACATAAAACCAAACACACATGAAAATAGCCAGACAAAAAAAGAAAATTTTTTTATTTTTCAAATTTATGCTGTAATATTGTTGACAGTTCAATATTAATATCGTTTAGAACACCAATTTGTTGTAATAGAAAACGATTTTCATCATTTAATTTTCTAACTTTACCTGATAATAATTTAATCAATAATCTAAGTATACTGATTTCATCTTGTTGATCAAGAATTTCAGGCAAATTAATCCTTATACTATCCTGTGTTGATAGATTATTGAATTTACCACCACCATTATGATTGCTATTGCTATTATTAACCACCAAAGATGTTCTACGTGTTGTTTGATCATAATGATGTTCAATCAATGAATTGTTTGCTTTAGTTGTTAAATCATCATCATTATTATTATTATTATTCATCAATTCATTTATAGAATATGCACTTGATAAATGAAGATGACCATCTTGAAATGAAGTTTCTTTTGATTTTAAATTCTTGACCGTATGATGATGATGATGATGATGATCAAAATTTTCTAATGAAAAATAAAAAAAAAACAGAAATTATTTTTCAAATTATGAATCATTCATTCATTTTTTGTTTTCATTCACCTGTAAAGCTTTTGTATGCCGGTGCCGTTACAATTCCGGATCTTTTACATGATGCAAGATAATCATCGAGATGTGTGCTTAACATTTGTGCTAGATTATCGAATACAGATTTTGTAGATGATTCTTTGTATGGAAAATGATGTGGATGTGTTTTCGATAATTTTATCATTTCTTTACCACCACCTGATGATGTTGATTGATCCATTTTAGCTAATTTTTCTTGTAATATATGATTAATGAAAACATCGAATGAGCTAAGTATCATTAATTTCATATCATTATCATCAAATAATTGATCAGATTTGTTATTACTACGTGATCCGGTACCATTATCTGTATGAGAATTTTTCATTTCAAATTCTTCCTGATTCATCTGTTTCGAATGATACATTAACGATGGTGTAGATGTTGATGACGCTGATGATGATGTGGGTAAATTTTTTGTATTCACACAATCATCATCAACAATCGAATTTAATGGATCTTGATGATAAATAACTGCAATATTTCGTCCGATTGAATCATTCTGCAAAAAAAATTTTAATATACATATCATTTGTAAATTGAAAAATAAAATGAATTTGAAACAAACCTTTGTTGCGTCAAAAGAATTTGAACTATTATTATTATTATTAGTATTTGATGATGATGATGTATAATTACCCATTATCAGTACGATTCAATAACAAAATGATAACGATCGTATTTTCGATTGAAACAAAAAACGCACATATGAAATTACATTTTAACTTTGTCACACAACAACAACAACGCTACAATGGGATTTAAATGAAAATTTTTTTTTTTTTTAGTATATTTTTAGCATCATATTGTAATTCATCATTGATAATTCTTTTTCTTTTTGTTGTTGTTGTCTTCATATATTTAAAATTAAGATTATTTAACCTTGAATGTTGTTCTGTCGTTGCACATATACACAAAATGTGTTGGTTTTTTTTGGCTTTCTTGTTGTATTCTGCTTCGTATTCATCAAATTTAAACTGGATTTTTTGTTTCATATTGAAAAATGACATTTCAAACAGGAAAAAAACATAATTTATTTCAAACGTAATTCATATAATCATTATTATTATTATAATTTTCAATAAATCGCAACCGATGAAAACCAAATGTCCAAGATATTTGGATTTTAGATGAAAGGAAAAAAAATCAAGATAAATCGGAAAATAGACTAGATATTGTTTCCGAACAAAACTATGTGGCTAAAAAATATTACTAAAAATTTTGAGAAAAAAATCTTTTTTTTTCTTGCAACTAAAATCAGGATTCATCAACTTTTTGTTGTATTTGTTTTATTTGGTTGTTTGTTCCACCAATTTTGTTGTTCCATATTTAATATTGATGATCTTTGATGAATAAATCTTGATCGGCAGCGGCACCAACCACACCGCCAGTATATTGTCCTTGTGCGGACAAACTGTTTGCCTGTTTTGTTTTTTTTTTTTTTTTTTTTTTTGGATAAAGAAAAGTTAGAAAAAACAATGAATGAAAATAGGATGATTGTAATGATTGGAAATAAAAAAAGAATCAGATTATTGGATGTGAAAAAACACCTTGGGTCATTTTTTTATTTATCAAAATATTTTATCGATTAGAATCAGAAAAAATAAGCTCGGATTTTGGTTATTCTGTCATGGTTCAGCTTATTCATGCAAAATTTTATATGGAAGCATAGAATGTCGAAAGGGAAAAAAATAATGTCAATTTTCATGATTTCAAACTGTCATCAATCAGGTTGCGGATACTATTGTATTGGGTTGTGGAAATCTAAACAAAAAAAAATTGCTGAAGGGTCGTCATTCTCATTATCTCAGTGCATGTGTGCAAAGCTCGTGGTTTTTCATTCATTAGTATTTATGTTGTGCAACAAAATTCGATTTTGCTGAAGCCAAACTTGGAATCGAACCGGCTACATATTGACCTTTGTGTGCAAGGACATTGGCCTAAAAAAAATGTCATTTCAAATAAATAAGCGGATATTGTGAATTTGGTAATATAACGTCGTATTAATCGATGATTATGTAGGCTTTGTTTATTATGAAATTATATGCTTACCTTTGCCCGTTGAAGAAATTCTTTTTGTCCAGCTGAAATATTTTCTGGTTTACCTTGCCAAGCACGCAAAGCAGATGCTTGCAATGCACGACCATAACTGAAGCTCAATGCCCATGGTTTTTTGCCTTGATATTGATTAATGGCATTCAAATTGACAGATGCTTCTTCTTCTGATTGTCCACCAGATAGGAAAACAACACCAGGAACGGCAGCCGGAACTGTACGTTGAAGAGCAGTTACAGTGGCTCGTGCAATATCTTGTGGACTAGCTTTCTGTGGACAGCTTTGACCTGGAGTGACCATGTTTGGTTTCAATAAGGAACCTTCCAAATAAACATGATGATCATTCAGGGCTTTGTATACGGCGGCTAACACAGTTTCAGTAACTTTTTGGCATCGTTCTAAATCATGATCACCATCTGGTAAGATTTCTGGCTCAACGATTGGAACTATGCGTGCCTAAAAAAGCCCAAGTGTTTACACAACAAAACAAAACAAAAAAAAACAACAGCGATTTACCTGTTGACAACAGCTAGCATAACGGGCAAGAACATTGGCATTTTCAAGTATAGCCAATGCAGATGGTTCATCTTTGCCAATTTTGAGTACACAACGCCATTTAGCAAATCGACATCCATGATTATAGTATTCTTGGCATCGTTTTGTCAAATTATCAAGACCTTGAGTGGTTGATTCACCATTGGTGCCTTGCAATGTGACAACACCAGTGTCGACTTTGATACCAGGAATGATTCCTTTCTTTTTCAACAATTCCGGAAACGGTGTATTATTATCATCTTTTTGGTAAACAGTTTCATCGAACAGAATCACACCGGAAATATATTGTTCAATGTTTTCACTGTAGAACAATAATTGTCGATATGCTCGACGATTTGGTTCAACATTTTCAACATTGATATCAGCGAAACGTTTGCCAATTGTTCCTAATCGATAGCCAAGAAAAAAATAAATAAGACACTTGACATGATGATCATGAATAATGGAAATTTTACTTACCGGTACTTTCATCAGCGGCCAAAATACCTTTACCAACCGAAACGATAGCATTGGCTGTATTTCGAAGTTCTTCTTGAACATCGACAGGTAAATAATTGAATTTAGCCATTATGATCGGGTTTTATTTTGTTGTTGTTTAAAAACTTGACATAAAAAGGAAAATTAAAAAAAAATAAAATGAAATTATCATTATATAATCAAAAGCAAAGAAAAAAATTCGGTACATACGAATTAGTTATTAGAGGAAGATTAAAGGTAAATTTCGAGCCGTACGATACGATGCTATGCAATCAAATGCAATGAAACTTATGGATGATGTGAGGTTTTTGTTCAAACATACACATATAATAAACAAGCGAATACTTTCTCCTATAGAAAAAAATAACAACAAAAAAAAAGATTGTTGATAATATTGAGGGAGAGAGATGAAAAATAGTGAATAAGGATGTTTCAATGTCAACCTAGACAAGTTTTTTTTTTCTTCATATATACACAACTGCTAACAATTTGGCTTTTAGAACAAGTTGAATTTCTCGTTTTCATATATGCTATGCTATTCGCTATATATGATATATATTCGTATTGCTTTTAGATATATAAATTCAGTGGTGGTGGTGGTGGTGGTGGTTTTTTGGTTGGTTCTTGTTGTTGTTGTTGATTATGTTTATTTTTTTGGTATCTGGGTGATTTCCATTTCGGTTTCTATATTATATTATTAATAGTTTAATAATAAGCTGAAATGTTGATCATGATTTTTATCTATAGATACGTGAAGAAATGAAAATTGGAGTACATTATATGATGAATAAGAAAAAATTTTACAATTTCACAAAATGTTTGTTTTTTGGTCAAAATCTTTTTCTGGTGAAAAGTTAATTAAATATAATTGAACTGTTAAATAGAACGGATTTTTTGCTTTAATGTCAAATCGAAGGTCATTTTGATTTTTTTTTTCACATACACTAATTGATTGTATTTGTACAATATTATCATCATCATCATCATCACCATAATCATTAAGAAGCAAAAAAAAAGCAATCAGAAAAGATCAAAGATCATTACATGATCAATGAATTATGGCGACATTTTTTCTCTTTATCTGCCTTAAAAAAAATTTGAATTGATAATGATAATAATTTGATTTGATGATCATCCGAAAAACAAACAAGCAACTAATTTCTGATCATGGCATGACAATTACAATGAATAGAAAGAGAGAGAGAGAAAGAGAAAAAAATGGAAATTTTTTTCCGGTCAAAAATATATAGATCAAATTGATTGCATCATGATTACATCATCAACATATAGAAATAATAAATGTATTCAGAATTGGACATACTCAGTACTATTATTATTCTATAAATATACGAAAAATATTGGGTTTTGTTTTGTTTTTTATCCAAACAAACAAATTACAAACAATACAATTCAATTCAAATACAGAATACAAATCAATTTTCATTTTTCTTTCAATAATTTCAATCGATTTGTTTCAACACAATTGGAAAATTTTTCCACTTCACGACGACATAATAATGGTTGACCATAATTTTTACCATAACAATCAATAACCGATTGTTCATGTACACGGCATGGTTTTTCCATATGAATATAATGATCACGAAAATATTGATTCTCCAAACAATCTATTTCTTTTTGTAAATGTTCACTATGTTTTCGATGTAAATCTTTATTTAATTGATCTAATTCTTCCCATTTTTGTCGCCATAATTGTTGATATTGTTGAAATTTACGTTCATATTCACCACGTATACCATATAATAGAATACTTGGATCAAATGCTGCATGTCTCTAAGAAAAAAAAATAATAATAATATATTAATGAAAAATGAATCAAATCAATCAATGTTATTATATTGACCATAATATAATTTGGATCAAATGTTGGAAATGCCATTAGATTTGATCTATCGGAATTCTCAGCTGATGGGGACATTTTTTCCTTCGATTGTCTCGATGATGATTCGATGATGATGATGGAATTTTGTCATTAAAAATTGCAGATGGCGTTTGTTGTTCACCTTCAGTGATTTTTTTATCACTGCTAGCAGTTTTAGCATTATTTTTAGCTAATAAATAATCGAATAAAGCCGGAGAAATCTAAACACAGAAGCAACAACAACAAAAAAACGACACAAACGATTCATGTATACAATTTTGATAACAGCAAACAAATTAAACAAAATCAACATACCGTTATTGTATCGTGATCACGCATTATTCAATTCTGTAATGAAAATAAAAGACAAATTTTTTTTCGTTTGAAAAAATTGGAATGAATACAAAAGTTTGGTCCAATCGAATCGTTAGGAAAACACGTTTTTTTTCGAAAAAAAAGTTATATTCGAAATTTTTGGAAACTTTTACAGTTGTTGGAATGTGATAAAGAAAAAAGTGCAATCGATGAAAAGAATCAAGATTTTTAATAATTGAATTGAATCAAATGAAAAAGATTTTTGATTCAAAAACAACAACAACAGCAACAACAACAAACCCTGCATGCATGCAAGTATTTTTTATGTTTATTGTAAAAAAAAACAAAACTATTCATAAATGCAATGACACAGTATAACGATGATGATGATGAGTATATTTAATATTTGGTCTGGATTTTTCTTTCAGTCTCTCTCTTTCTCTGTCTCTCTGTCTCTCTGTGTTTCTCTTTGGGCTTTCGTTTCTTTTTTTTTCTTGTGTTTTCACCTTATTGCACAATATTTTTGTTGTTGTTGATGTTGATGTTGATGATGAAGTTTCACAATATTTTTGTTGTTGTTGTTGATGTTGATGTTGATGATGAAGTTTCTTTATTTCAGGCAATAAATAATCAAATTGAATATATAACCAGTCTTTCTTATATTATTATTATTATTATAATGCAGGCAACTTTTTTTTATACTGATTTTATTGTGTGTGTGTGTGTGTCTGATATGTATTCGTTTGTCTATAAATATGATATCTGAATGATGATGATGATGATGATACTACGCAATCTATAAGATTAAGCCAGGTATTATATAGTCAAAGGTAGGCATATATAAAAAAAAATTATTATTATATATGTCCCGTGTGTGTGTGTGTGTGTGTGTGTGTGTGAGTGTATGACCGATAATAATAATGACGATTGAATGAATACAACAACAATATATGTGTGATGTGATTGTATAATAATCCTAAATTCTTTTTTTTGTTAAAAAACAAATCTCTCTCTCTCTCTCTCTCTCTCTCTCTCTCTCTCTCTCTCTCTCGCTATTTCTCGATATTCGATATTCTATGAAGAATTGGCCAACAACAACAACAACAACAACGTCCATCTTAAAATATCAATCAATTTTGATTTGATTCAAAAACAATCCATCACTATATATTATTAATACGTTCATCATCATCATCATCATCGATGATAATGTTGGTCATCATTTTTTTTCTATCCATATTTCATAAATGCTGATGATGATGATGATATTTTGTTGAATGAATGAAGAAGAGGAAAAAGAAAATAAAAATAAATAAAAATCCTCATACATTCATACACATACACACAAACACACACACTCAAATCACTCATATAACGACATCATCATCATCATAATAATATTTGGTCACAGTTATGGCTGATAATAAGTTTCATTATTTGAAATATTTTCATCATCATCATCATCATTTATATATGTAATATCGAATGTGATTTTTTTTTGTTTTTGTTCTGATGTATTGACGACAAAAAAAAATGTCCAACTTTGATAAGTAAGTAGGATTATTATTCTAAAACAAAATCAAAAAATTCAAATATGCAAATTTTTTTTCTTGGAAAAATTTTTTTACACCTATTTTTCGCCTCTCTCTAACGACGATGATCATGATGATGGCCATTATTTATTTTTTTTAAAGAGAAAAAATAGTATTGCCACCGCCACCACCAGCATCAACGAAAACCAAGTTGAAATTAAAACGGGTACATACAATTTCCGGATCATCAACAACGGCAACAACAAGTACAAAGATTAATAATAATAATAATGATAATTTTCATCCACCGGATATAAGCAACAACAATAATAACCATCATCATTTTAATAATAATAATGATAATGATAATGTTAGTCATCAACAGACTGCTGCAGCTAAATCAACAATAAAAACATTGTCAACAACATCATTGCCCGAACAGAATAGCTATGGCCAATTCACTATGGATAGCATTGGTATGATGATATTGACAAAACAAAACAAAACAAAATTTGTAATTAATATATATATTTTTTTTCTATTAATCTATTAAGATTTAGATCGACTCGATATTGATGATGATATTGATTCATGTTCATTGGATCTTTGGTCCATAACCAAGGAACAACAATCATATTATACTAAACAATTTAAATTATTACAAGGAAATTGTATCACCGGTACAATAAAGGCTAATGTTGCAAAAATATTTTTTGAAAAATCCGGTCTCAATATTAAAGATTTATCACATATATGGAAATTATCCGATATCGATGAAGATGGTGGTCTATCATATGCTGAATTCTGTGTAGCCATGCATTTGGTTGTACTTAGACGTAATAAAGTAGAATTACCTATACAACTTCCATTACCATTACGAAAAGCATATCGACGATTAATGATGTTAACATCAACATCAACATCAACAACATTTTCAATGGTGAATAATGCACAAAAACAGCCTATTGGTATTGTTCGATCAATTAGTAGTGGAAGTAGACAACATTCCAATAATAATAATAAAATGATGAATACTGAAAATGGTACTAGTGGTGGTGGTGGTGGTGATAGCTTTCCAATAAAAAACGATACATCATCATCTTGTCAACGAAGACATAGTCAAAATTGGACACGATTCACTAATGATTCACCAAACATGTCAACAATCAAACAGAATAATAATAATAGTAGTATTGATAATAATATCGTATCCAATAATAATACATCACCAGCAAAATTAGCAAATTTTGATTACAATATAATTGATGTTATTGCTACTAATCCAAATATTCGTCATCCAGTACCATTACGTGTATCACCATCATCACCGGCATTGTTCGATTTAGAACATTGTATTGTAATGGATTCAAATCAAACTAATAATAATAATAACAATAATGATGATAGTAAACGATCATCATTGAATGATTCGTTTACATCATCAAAATCAATTGATTCATGTCGTGAACAATTTTCTCCATTCAAAATTATCAATCATCATCGTTCAAATAATAAACCGAATTCACCGAATGAATTTTTTACTCGTAACACTTTGTTGCCAACCACAACCACAACCACAACAGGAACAGGTCTGTCAACCACAAACAATTTATAATAATAAAATTAATTATAATTTTCAAAATGAAATATAGATTCAAATGGCATACAATCATTGAAACAAATTATTGATCATGTTCGTATGATTGAAAATCGATTCGAACAACAATCCGTTATCATCATCATCATCATCAGATAATAATGGTATTACTGTGATACCATTTGAGTAAGTTTTATATATAAATATTTAAACATAAACAAACATTTTAATCCTTTTCACATTTCATTTCATTCCATATCATATCATATCATAGAAATGTAACAAAAATTGATGAATTACAACAATCGATTCGTATTTTGAATGAATCAAATCAACGTTTACAGCGTACAAATCAAGAATTATCAATAGATTTATCTGCTATGATTAAAATTGTAAATCATTTGATTAAACAATATTCATCCAGACAACAACAACAACAACAACAACAATGAAATATTGTTTCTGCTTGTTAAAAATGAAGAAGAAGAAACAAGATTACTTGCTCTTTCATAAATAATTTCAAATTCATTGGTCACAAACTCTATTATATGGTCTTTCTTTCACCAAGAAAAAAAAATACTTTGAGTGAAACTAAAAACTTATATATATAATATAATATATATCCAACACACCTCATTTTCTCAACTGTCTGTCTCTGTCTCTCTCTCTTTCTCTCATTTTGCATTACAAAATATTAATGTTTTTGATTTGAAATTTTTTTTCCTACTTTATTTTTATTATTTTTTTTTAAATATTTTATTTTTTATTATTGATTGATTGATTGATTAATCGATTGATTTGTGTATATGCAATGGGGTGGACAAACAAATGCAACAAACAAACAAACAAACCATCGATTGAAAGAATGAAAACAAAAAATTGATTTATTTTTATTGATCTATAATAAATATATTTATTATTTATATCATTTTTTTCAACAAAAAAAATTTTGATACAAAATGCAAGAAAAATTTATTCAACTGTATACCTGATATATAATTATTATTATATGGAAGTTGTGAATAATGATGATAATGATGATGATGATAATTTTTTTCTGAGGTATCAAATCACAATTATTGTTGAGTGAAACAAAAAAAAAAAAATTGGAAAAGTGTTTGTTGAGAATGAAGGAATCGAATAATTCAATATCAATTAGCCTATCCAAATTGAAAATTCTATTCAATACAATTGTTTTGTACTTGATTATTGATTGATTGATTGATTAGAATTTTTTTTGTTTTGTTTTGTTCTAGTAATTAGTATTTTTCATCATATGATATGATGATGATGATGAATCTATTGAATGATGATGTGAATGTTGTTGATGATGGCCATATTCAGCGGCAGCAAGAACTAAATCGGAAAAATTTTCCGTTTGATGATGATTATTAATAGAATTTGTTGTTGATGTTAATTTCGATGATTCATAACTTTCTAATAGATTTAATTCAGCAATCTCATCGTTTAAAGTGACCACTTTTTTAAGCATTTCATTATCATGTTTATGCATATTATTTAATTGACATTTAAGATGTGTTAATATTGTTTCAAAATTTTTCATACGACTCTGTATTGCCGATATACGTTGTCGTGCTAATGATTGATTGAAATCATGATCAATAATACCGATTATTGGATCAGCTAGTCCATGGTTAATCATTCCTGAACCTGTGGCCAAACTTGAACTTGGATCTTCGTCGACGACTACTTCATCATCATCATCATCATCGTCAACTTCATCATCAACTTCATTACGTACAACATCATCATCGTCGTCGTCATCATCTTCATCATCACCTTCATTACCACGCGATGGTTCATCATCGATATCATAACGTTGTTGTATTGCAGCAGTGACATATTCATCGACAAGATTAGGATCAGGATATTTTGGCTTTTTTCCCATCATTGTTGAGCTACTAATGGATTGTTGATCCATTCGATATTATTAGATTGTTGTTTCACTGTAATTATTAAACATATGATTAATAATTAATAACATCAATTATTTTCAATTTGGATAATCAAGAATCAAATTACCATCACAATTTATGACAACAACAACAATATTTTTTAATAATTTTACGAGCAAATCACATATACTACCACTATTATGATACATTGATTCATAAATGAATCGAAATAGCCGATATATGTTGATGAAATTTTGTCTCTCTGATTCTATTCATTGATCGATCGATATATATGGCTCATTGAATTTGTTTCATAGAATTTTAAGAATATAAACAAAAAATAAAGAATTTTCCATCCACAAATCTGTGATATTTTCTCTTCTTGTCCATCCTTATCTGTTCTACTTATGCCGTCATCATCATTATTATCATCACACAGTATTGTTCAAGTGTTGTCCGTTTTCAACTAGAAAAAAAAGTTTTTTTTTTCACGAAGAATTTCGATTTATCCAGTCAATATATATTTAAATAACATTGAATCATAAACGTTGTCCACATTCATATGAAATATGCTTCGAAATTGGCGTTGGTTTAATGGCCCACAAACCAAACGTTTTGTACGTCGTGTTCGTTTGAATATTCTATTTCATCCAAAACATTCGATTTTGATTCTAATCATAACGATCGGTTTAATCTATGTTCTTTATCAATTGTTATTTTCACCATTCATAAGTAATCATGATAGCTATGATTCACAATTAGAATTATTGACCAATATGAATAAATGTGAATCTATGAATCCATTGGCAATGCTTGTATTTGAAACATTCGTACGACGAATCATTAATACATTTGATATGCTTGAAGTAACATATTTTCTTTGCTATGAAACATTATGGTCAACATTGAAAAGAGCAAATGGTGATCATAAACGTAAAAATGGATCAAAAATTCGATTGAAAATAACTGATGCTTGTTTTAATCTATGCATATTGAATGAAGATCTACAACGTCATGATGAATCTATTATTGAACGACGTTTTCGTAATAATGGTATACAATTACATTATATACATTCAGATGGTATTTATGTATTAAAACCAACAACACGATTAATTGATATGACTATACCAAGAGATTTAGATGCCGATGGTATTCGAGAGAAAAAAATCGATGAAGAAGAATTACATCCAATTCTATTCACAATACATGCACGAATACATGTGTTTGAAAAAGATTCACAAGAAGATATGTATCGTCGTATTGGTTGGCGTAGTAGACTATTACCATCGACAATGTGTAAACAATTACATTGTTTTCCAACCAATTTAATCGATAATAATGATGATCAAGTAATCACAAATTCTTCAAACAAAAATGATCAACAACAACAACAACAACAGAAATCCAGACAATCAACAATGGGACAATTACCGAAATTAGAATATTTACCATCATTATTTGTTAATGTACCACGTGAAGGTTTAGAGATACAAAAATATCATTATCCGGATACATGGTGGACGATGACCGATTCAGTTGATGAATGTTCATTATCATCATCATCATCATCATCATAATGATGACGATGATGTGGAAAATCATATGTTGTTGTTCATTCATTTGTGTAAAATGTGTAAAAATGTATTTTTCATTTTATTTTGTTTTTTGTTTTGTTTTGGGCCAACCACTCAATATCTATAGAGTACATAGTTCTAGTTCAGTCAGTCAGTTTATATAATTATGTATTTTATTAAAATAAAAAAAAACAACAAAACAAAAAAATTATTTTCACTTTTTCATTTGTTGCCAAATCAAATCATATCATATCATATCATTATTATTTTAAATGAAATAAAATGAATGTGGAAAAAAAATACTAGTGAGAAGAAAAAACTGGTGCAAAAAAAAAAAACCTAACGGTTTTTTTTCCTATTAATAATTTACCCTACATTTTTTTCCACTAACGGAAATAGGAAAATTTGTTGATCCGATTTCCGAATGGGGCTGCTATTATTATTAATATATATGGCTAACAAATACCCCCCAATCACCATTATAGATATAATGGTAAAATAATTATAATCTAGTTTCAAAGTTGAAAATAATCTTCCGGATTTAATTTCATCCATAAATAGCCATCGTTGATCAATTGATGAGTTATCATTCGTATTATATCATTCATATCGTAAACATTGTGTATTTGTGAATTTTAAAATTTTTTTTTTTTTGTTTTGTTTTCGTTCACAAGCAAAATAAAAAAAAAGTGAAAGCATATTATTTTGAGAGACAGATAGAGATAGAGAGAGAAAGAGAGTGAAAAAAAATGGCAAAATCATTTTCATCAACATCAATTATGTTTATCACCATGGTGACAATCATTACCATGTTTGTCGGTTGGTCATTGGCTATTGGCCGTAATCCAACACCTGTTGAACATAATGCTTGTCGTGTTAAATGGTCTGAACATGTTAATGAAGTGAAACGTACATATAAAGATGATCGTGCACGTGTTGTTGCTATAAATGTAAGTGGGAATTTATTCGTTTTTTTTTCTCACAGCTAGATTATTCATGATTATTTTTTTTTATTTTTTTTTGTAAATTTATTATTTCCTTCAAATATAGCGAGGATTGGATGGTGCACCATGTATGACATCTTGTCGTATTATATTCCGTGGTAATCAAAAAGATATGGAAGATATTTATACACCAGATGATGTACAATGTGCAAGTGGAGCTAATCCAAGAGTAAGTATATACATTTCATCATCATGAATTATGAATCATAAATTAGTTAGATATGAAAAAAAAAAATTTCATTTCATTTCTGACAATTGTCGCCAATTGTCTTATCAAATTTTTTTTTTTTTTTTTTTTTGATATTCTTCATACCATAAGCAATGCAGCAGAAAAAAAATATGACCATATGTTTGTCGTTTTTTCTTGAAACCAAGAAAAAAACTACAAACAAACATCCGTCACCACAATGACAGAGAACACATACAATTGTATTCTAGACGGATTTTCATATTTTTTTTTCTCGTTGTTATTGCTAATATGGGTGCCTTGTTTTTGATGACGATGACAAATTGTTATTTTTTTTTTTTTTTGGTAGAATATTCTTTAATTTTATTATTAAAAAAACAACATATGTCAATTTTTTTGAGTTGTTTTCAACTTGTTGACATACGTTTTTGATTTTAGTAATTAAAACGACAGATTTATGATCCTTATTTTCATTTTCATTCATTGTTAAGAGACTAATTAATTATCGTTTTCATTTTTTTTGTTGTTGTTGTTGTTGTTGTTGTTATTGTCCCATTTATCCATTGTCCATCATAATAATAGTTTTGCCAAAAAGGACGATGTGTTTTGCCAGCCAAATATCGTAATGGACAGAATGATGAATCGATTGAAGTATAAAGTGCAATGAATAATCCCATAATCGATGGATATCCGATGGCGAATATTTTTGAACAATTAAATTATTATATTTCCCGTTTCTTTGAATCGATTACGTTTATTTTATTATTGGATAATATTCATAAATATTCGTATTTTCCATCCATTGAATCAATAATTTTCTCACTCTCTAACTCATTTAAAATTCATTGAACACACACACACACACACACACACACACACGCACAAAAATGATTATTACTTTATTTATGATGATGATGATAAACAACAATTTATAAATGATCAACCTTATAATATAAGTAATGTTTGTATTTTCAAATAAATTCAAAATCATTACAATCATTATCATCATCATCATATTAAACAATTTGATTGATCGATTTATTATCAATTTTTTTTCATAAGATGTTGTTTACCTATAACTTTGTTCGTTTGATCTACACCTAATCGATAATAAAAATAATATATATAAACAAAATGTAACGAAACTATTAACAGGAAAAAAAAATTTTTTTTATCGATAATTTATATGCAAAGCAAAACAAAATAATGTGCTGATAAATTATAGTTCTTAATTATAATTTCAAATGAATTTCTGTGTGTGTTTTTCCTTTTCCTCCTCCCAATCGTTTTGTTTTTTGTTTTTTTTCTAGTTTCATTACATTTACGATAATCGACGTATTTTTGTTCTTGTTTGTACAGGAAGACAGACAATTTGGACTTTCCCAAACGATCAAAATTGTAATAATTTTTTTGTTTTAAATATTTATTAGCCAGTGTGTAATGATTGAGTGTGTACGTGTGTGTAAATTTGTAGTAAAGAACAATAAAAAAAAATTAATGTGACACCGGAAATGACTGGAGAAAATATCATTTAAATATCATCAATAAATCGAAGAATCGAAAACAATCGATATGATCCTAATATTTCGATAATTTTAAATGAATATCAACAGGTGGCATTAATTTTCATTTAGATTCTTTCAAAAAAAAATTTTTTTTTCTGTATTCCAATCATTAATTTTTGACCAAAGAAAAAAAAGAATCGATTCTAGATTATTATTGTTAAACATAACAAACACACACACACACAGAGTTTGTTTTTGTTCACAATTGTTTGTTCTGTATTAATTTCATTTCATTTCATTTTTTTTTTAATTTGAAACAACAACGATAATAATGATGACCACTGTGTGTATATGAACGAAATACTAGCCCCTTTTTTTGCCATAAGTTATACCGCGCCCAAAAGAAATTTTTTTTTTTGCTCTCGTTGTTTTATCATGGTTATTTTTTTTACCAAAGATTTATAGATAGAAAATGTGGTCATGTGTGTGTTTTTTGTGTGTGTGTGTGTGTTCATGTATACCTGCTTGGCCACGTTTCATTTTACATGTTCACCATTGATATGCTGGCAACAAACAACAAAAAAAAATCTCAATTGCACATTGTACGACTTGGTTTACTATTATTATTACCTAAATACATTACCAATATATCCACAGTCCACTTGCCAAAATGTGGCCATTGAAATGTTGAAATAAAGCTCTGCATGCTTATAAAAAGTTTTGGTTTTTGTTTCATCTATCTTGATTTTTATTCAATGTTGTATGATTGCATGCAGTGAGCATCCAGAGATATAAAGCAAAAATCAAATTGCCCGCCATTTATCATGATTATACAACGTCCCCATATATATATATATTATAAAAACGAACAAACGACAATCTCTCTCCATTGCAAAAAAATTCCCCTTTTTTTTGATTGAAGTATGTTGGTATACGAAGCAACAAGTTTGAAATGAAAACTAGTATCCAGGTTGCGCAGGTTTTCTTTCTTTTTCTTTTTAACATTATATACGTAACCAAAATTCAAAAAAAAACCAACCAACCAACCAATGATAAGACCTAGCTTGAAGTGTGCAACAATTCCACTACATTTTGAATATTTCTGGCTTTTTTTTATTGAAGAAGAAGACCTATGCAAAAAAAAAAAAAAATTTGTAGCTTTGTTCCATTTAGTGTTGAAGTAGTGGCATATTAAATTCACACCATTCATCAATGATGATTGCAAATCCAAATAACATTTCAATCGTGTATGTGAAAAATAAGATGGTGAAAAAAGAATTCCCTCCTATGGTGTTTCATCAGTTGTGAAACAGCAACAACAACAACAACAACAAAAAGTGTGAGAAACAATGTGTATTGGTGTGTAGTGGCCAAAATTTTTGTTAAGAAAATTTTTTTTTCTCTCTTTTTCCTCTGCTTATGTATTCTCACTATTGTAGATTTTCAAATTCAACAGGCTATGTATTTCATTCCAGAAAAAAAAACTTGCGTAGCGGCGGGGTGAGTGCACAGATTCATTGTGTACATTCTATTTCTGAGGGAAATTTTTTTTTTTTTTTTTTAAATCGTCTCAAAAAAAAATTCTCTTTGATCCTTTGATTTTATAATAATAACAATTATTATTAGTAGAAGTAGTAGAAGTAGTGTGTGTGTGTGTGTTATTTCCAATCAATGTTAAATATCCACCACACAACATTTGATAGTGGCTATACTATACTGTTGTTGTTGTTGTTGATCCATTGCAACAACAACAATAATCATCACCACCATCGTTGACTGAAAATCATCAATTTTGTTGTTACAATCAACATCAACATCGAAGAAAAAAAAAACGTTTGATATATCAACATATTACCACTACCATTTATTACCACTACTTATTATCTCATCAACTGACAAGTCAAAGTAAACTGAATGTATATTTTTCAATGATGATGATGATAAAGGAGAGAAAAATTCGCGCTTTATGTTCAATATAATTTTTTTTTTTTCTCATTCATTTGTCTTATTAGATTGTTGAAGCTTGTTGTTGTTGTTGTTGTTGTTGTTGGTATGCCTGTTTTTTTTTTTTTTTTTTACTTTACCTTGTTTTTTTTTCAATGGTGGCGATGATGTGAATATAGTGTGTGTGTGTGTGTGTGCATCATCAACGCAGCGGTGGTGGCATCATCATCATCATCATCAAATCTCATCCAAAATTGATGCTTCGTCACCATTGATGAATGAATTTTGATTTTTGCTTTTGTTTTTTTTCTGTTGCTGAGTGTGTGTGTGTGTGTGTGTGTGTGTGTGTGTATGGAAATTGAAACAACGATAAAATGGAAAAAAAAATTTTTGAGATCATTATCATGATCATGAACACCAAACATCATCGTTATAATAAGATTATATTCAATTCAATTCATTCAATATTTAATTAAACAATTGACAACAGCCAATAATCATCATCGATTCATTGTAAATCAACAAGTGAAACGAAAAAACATTGTCATATTGATTTCCACAGTGAATATTTCTCGTTTGATGAATAAAAAAAAAATCAAATTACAAATGTCATCGAAATAGAAAATTTTCCATTTCTCTTTCTCCATTCTCATCATCATCATCGTCATCATCATCATCACAATTAAAATTATCTGGTGTTTTTTTTCCACCATTAATTGACATAAAGTGAACAAACAAACAGACAAAAAAAACCGGATAAAACGACAAAAACACCGGCAATTACAATTAGTGCAGTTTATTGTGTGTATGTGTGTGTGTGTTTGGGTGTTTGGGTGTCTGTTATATCCATATCAAATCAAATCAAATATTTGTAAAAATGTAAAATTTCCTGGTAAAAAACAAAAATTAACCTGGTATGTTGTTTTTTATCTGTTTTTTTCTCTCTAAATACAACAACAACAACAACGATTGTAAACAAAACAAAAAAATTTTTTCTATTTAATTTTGGCGATGATGATGATGATTAGTGGACGACACCAGGAAAACAAAAAATCAAATTAATCAGATAAAATAAAAAAATGTAAACAAGGCGACCAGTTTCTCTCTCTCTCTCTCTCTCTCTCTGTGTGTGTGTGTGTGTGTGTGTGTGTATGTGTCACTTCGAGAATCGAAATCAAATCAATCAATGTATTGATGATTCATTGAATATTTAATATATTTCGATGTTGTTGAAACAAAAATCAAATTTTCCATCATGATTTATTTATTTATTTTGTTTTTGTTTTTGTTTTTTCACATCGATCGACCTCGTATAATTTTGTTATATTTGTTTAATTAATGATTTGATATGATTTGATATCATTTGGTATTTCACTCTTGTCACTGTCTTTGTTGTTGATTTTTATTTGATACAAGTATGTCACCCGTACACACACATATTGGCAATGTTTAGACATGTAGTTTTTGTCAATTTTATCAACATAAAAAAAATCAGATGATGAAAATGAGAAATGTGATCATTATCATCATCATCATCATCATCATCATTGTAAATATAATTTGATAATCATATACATCAAGTAAGAAAGGACACACACACACAATCATCATCGATTGACCGGCTCGTGTAACAGGTCTTTCTTTTTCTTTTTTGATTTTTTGAAAAAAAAATTTGATTTTTCATCCGCAAATTTTTTTTTTGCCCTTTTGTTCATATACGTGATTATTTTCTTGTCATTTTTATTGTTATCCAGAATGGTTTCAGGAAAAAAAACTTTTCATTTTCTTTTATATTATGTTAGTGTCAGTCTGTCTGTGTGTGTGTGTGTGTGTTTTATGTGTCATTTTTCTTTTGAAAAATGAAAAAAAATAAACAAATTCATTTCCGTTTGATGCATCCATGATGATGATGATGATGATGATAAAAAAAAATCGAATGAATTCATTTCATTTCATTCTATTCAATTTGACAATAAATGATTGAACGAACGAACAAAAAAATAAAATAAAATAACCGTTTTTCAACGGAATGAATCTGTCTTTTTTATTTATTTATTTCTGTTGTTTGTTCGAAATGTTTTTTTTTCCAAAAAAAAAAAAAAAATCATTAACAACAACAACAGCAGCAACAGTAAAAACTTGTTATTATTGCTAACAGCTATATATCATCAATCAGATCATCATGATCATCATCATTACCATTATCACCATTATATTATTATTATCGTTTCTTGAGACCATTGAATAAATTTGACTTGTCTGTTTCACACTGTCTTTTACATAACATAAAACTAACAAGTCCATATTTCTTTTCTGGCTATATATGATGGTTCCTGGAATATTGTTTCACCATGAAAAATTGGACAAAGAATGCCAAAAGAAAAAATATGACTAGCGATGACTAAATTTTTTTTTCGTTTCGTTTTGTTTTTTGTGTGTGTGTGTGTGTGTATGTTCAATTTTCAGTCATCATCTTGACGGAGAGTAATGATGATGATCATCATCATCATCATATAATCATAAATAAGAAGATAGACAAACCAAAAAAACATTTTTTTTTTCGTCTTTATTGGAAATTTTTTCCAAGAAAATTTTCAAGTTTTTTTTCTCGACAAATGTTTGAAGAGATTAAGAAATGACTTTATATTCACATCTGGTTTAGTTTGGTTTGGTTGTCATCATCATTATCCTTTTTTTTTCTTTGGAGCAAAAGTTTTTTTTTTTTTTTGTTCTACGATCTAGTTTAAAATTTTTAGTTGCGAATAATAAAACATTTTGATGATTAATCGATTGATTGTGTGCATTGAATAGAGTTGAAATTTTAAATTTTTAAACACAATCTATCTATATCTATATATATTTACAAATACAATTCGAGATCATCATCATCATTTATATTCATCTTATAGAAAAAAAAACGAATGATAAACAACAACAGAAAAATTAATATATAATATATATATAAATAGAAAATTCGAATCAAATCAATGATTTACACACACAAACAAACAGATGCACAAATCAATGTGTACAATGAAAAAAAAAATTCATCGTCTGCCAACTAATAGTAATCACGATGATGATGATGATGATGATCATGATCATCATCATTTCATTTGAATATATGAAACCATGAAAACCAAAAAATATCAATATCGAAATGAATTTATTTTTCATTCATTCATTCATTTGTTGTTCATTTCTAGCCTATTTTGTACTACTTGTGTGTGTGTGTTTATCATCATCATCATCATCATTATAATAATAATCAATGGCGAAAAAAAAACAAAAATCAGCTACCAATTTATATGTAAAACAAGATGTGAACAATTAATTGACTGTGTACTATATATATATATATTTATTTGATTGATTGAATGATGATTTTTTTTTTTTTTTTTGCTGATTGATTTATTTGTATCATCTCTCCATTTTTTTTTCTCTTGAACAGATTATTTTCCATTTCTCTGTGAATAATAATAATAATCATTTATAATTCATTCGATTTTTTTTTTTGTTATTTTCAAAAATAGATTCACGAAGCCGATAATAATAACCAACACTATCATCAATGAATGATGACAAAAAAATGTAATAAAAATTAAAACATTTTTCGCTGAAATTGTTCATAATTTGAACATCATCATTATATGATATATATATTTGTTTATATTTGTTGTTGGTGGTTTATTATTATTTTCAATAATATCAAAACATTGATTGATTGATTGATCAACTACACTCATCATCAAATCATCATCAAATATAATAAAATGGTTATGTCTACCACAACAATAATACCATCAAATACAAACCAAAGAGTTTTATCATCATCATCAACAAAAACAACAACAACAACTATAATGGCTACAGCCACATCATCTTCGTCATCATCATCATTGACAACAGCAGTAGCAGCAACAGCAACAACAACAACAACACCAGTTGCAACTTTGGCCACAATGACCGTTAAACAGCGTGCACAAGAACATGAAAATCTTCGAAACATAATTGCTCAATGGAATGCTAATCGTTTGGATTTATTTGAAATTAGTGAACCAAATGAGGTAAGAAAGAAGAATTGGATAAAAACATATATATATATTGATGATTATTAATAATAGATAGAATCAAAATTATTATCATTTTTATTTTCTTTGCTTATAATTTTATCTTTCAATTCAACTTGGAATGTTGCCCATTTTTCTCTCTCTCTCTTTTCTGCAGAGATAATCTTGTTGATCTTTGTTTTTATGGATGAAAAAGAAAAAATGTCATCATCATCATCATCATTGTGTTGTCAACAAATGGATAAGAAAAATAAATGATACGAAAATGAATTTGATCTTAAATGTACGAATTTTTTTATCAATATGAACTTGTACAAAAATCATATATTGATGGTCAAAAAAAAAAAAAAAATTTTTTTGATGATGACAACAACTAAAATGATGAATTAATTGTATACCATTAGGTAGTGTCATATTTTTTATATCCTATGAAAATGATATTTACATGTAATAAAAAAAAAATAAAGATTAAAGATCCATTGATAATAATGAATGTGACAATCAATTTAGTGATCAAAAAAAAAAAAATGATTATCTTGTTTATTTTTTTTTCTTCGATTATAATGCTCCATTAACACAGACAAACAAAATTTTTTTTCCATTGCTGACCAGATATATATATATATCTGGTCTAATCAGGTTAAAAACCATAGATTTTTCATTTTGTGTACGGTTTTTTTTATAGAACAACAACCAATGATCAATACGACAAACAATAGTATTCACTGGCAATTATTTTTGTTGTTTGTTTGGCTGCAGCAAATATATTACGAAAAAAAAAGAAAAAAAAATTGCAATTGTCGTCAAACCAAAAAACAAAACAAAACAAAACAAGAGAAAAATTTAGCTATCGTTAGAGAATATCATATATATAGTAAAATTTAATTCACAAACATAGTACTATTATAGTCTAGACCAGCTAGAGAATATTATTCGTTGTTTGCCCCTTGTCGACCACCATCAATTTTTGCCGACGATGACCCAAAGTTAGTAAAGAGAAAAAAAACGATTGCTGACTGGTCAAAACAAGTTTTTTCTTTCTTTCTTTCTTACAACATTCATTCGCAATCGGCCTCTATAGTGATAATCATGATGATGATGATGATGATGATAATGGTTAGAGAGCCAAAATTTTTCTTCATGATTATGATGATGATGATGATGATGATGGTGGTGGTGGTGGTGGCCGACCTGTTGTGTTGTTATCTGTCTTGCTGTGCAACAAGTGTATGTGTGAGGAAGAGAGAGAGAGAGCGAGAGAAAAAATCTGACCTTGCTAATAGTGATTGACCCACCACCGTAATATACAATATACAAACAAAATAAAAACGGTTAAAAGCTGGCGGTTTTTTTTCTTGGTAATTAGTGTGGATAAAGCCAGGTGTGAGTGTTCAAAAAAAAGTAGAAAAAATTATGAAGGTTAACAGAAGAAGAAAAAGTAAAAGAAAAAAATTTAGATGCGCGCCAATTTTAAAATTAAGAAATTTTTTTATTTTGATTAAAATTACAATTTTCTTTTTTTCTTTTTCATTATTCAAAAACCCCATTATAGGATCTAGAATTCTATGGTGTAATGAGATTTTATTTTCAAGATGCTGGACAAAAAGTGGCCACCAAATGTATGCGTATATCATCGACAGCATCGACAGCTGATGTTATTAATAATTTAATTGAAAAATTTCGTCCCGATATACGTATGCTTTCTGTACCGGAATATGCATTATATGAGATACATGAAAATGGAGGTAATTTTTTAGCATTTTAGTTGATCAACAATTGAACAACGAGAATTGAATTTGTTTTAATTTTTTTTTTCATTTTTTTTTGAATCAAATAGAGGAACGTAAATTAGCCGATTCAGAATTTCCATTATTGGTTCAATTGAATTGGCATAAAGATGATCGTGAAGGTCGTTTTCTATTACGACGAATGGATGAAAAAACTTATGTGTGTATTCATTATTATTTAGTTTAAAAAAAAATTAATATTTATCTTCTTTTATCATTAAAAAAAAATTAGTTACCCGGATTTAGCCCGGAAAATAGCAATATATTTAATCGTAAATTATCGAAACGTGAAAAGAAAGAGAAAAAGAAGAAAGAAAAAAAGGAAAAAGCAGCCAACAATAATAAATCAAGTAAAGATGGTGGTGGTGGTGGTGGTGGTGCTGGTGGTGGTGGCAAAAATGGAAAAGATTCATTAGCCGAAAAATTATATACAGAACTGCCTGAGACCAGTTTCACACGATCCATTTCAAATCCGGAAGCAGTAATGCGTCGGCGACGGCAACAAAAACTTGAGAAAAAATTACAACAATTCAGCCAAGAAGGTGGACCTGAAGCAGGTGGAACATTACGAATATTTGGTGAATCAATTAATCAAGATGTACCATATAAAACAATTTTATTATCAACTAGAGATACAGCTGCTTTTGCCGTTAAAGAAATTCTTGAGAAATATGGTAAAGATAAAGAAGATCCTGTTCAGTATTGTTTGGTACAAGTAATTGTACCATATTTAAATGGTGGTAGTATTCCAGATGCTAAAACCAATGGTGTTACCAATGGACCACAATCATTACCGGATACTAATCAAACTGGTATTCGTGAATATATTCTCGATGATGATGATTGTCCATTGATAATTGAAAGATCACATAATAAATCACGTGGTGTATTGACATTCCATATTCGACGTCGACCACCAGATTATCAGCCACGAAGACGTAAGAAAAAGATTGGTAATCAAATGATCGATTCAATTGGCGGTGTTTCTGCCAGTGGTGGTGATGATGAATTTTGTGAATCGACAACAACAGCCAATAAAACGTTGCCATATTTGGTAGAAGTTGATCCTGATGGTAGTGAAATATTTCGTCCCGGAGTCATTCCTAAACGTCATTATTTAAATACCAGTATTCTTGAAATCGGTACCGATGTCGATGTGATTGCCGAAAAATCTCCAAATGCAAATCGTAGTACGTTACAGCTATGTGGACCAAGTATTCAACCACACCATTGTACGATTGCGAATACCGATGGTATAATTATCGTCACACCAAGTAATCGGGAAGCGGAAACTTTTATTAATGGTACTAAAATTTACGAAACAACCGTACTTAAACCAGGCATGTTAGTCCGATTTGGAAAATTATTCACATTTAAATTTGTAGATGAAAATCTACTCAAACGACATTCCCAAATATCGGCCGGACCATCTGTTGGTCACCATTCTCAGCAATTGTTCACGAATGATCCCCTAAAATCGCCAACATCTTCACTAAATCCTTCATATGAAACTACATTTGATGCTGATGGTAAAGTTGAAACATCGAGTAAACCTGAACCAGTGGCCAATATGTATAGTACAGGGTCCTTGCAACGGCATCAAACATTGGGAAGCTTACCACGATCAAGTATCGCCTCGAATGTTGAAACAAATATGGTAACGAACAGACCAGTACCAGGACAGTTACCAATAGCGATGACTAATCCCCAACAACAAGTAAGAAAAGGTGACAACATATTACCTGCCATATTAGAAGTAGGCGAAGAACTTGAGGATTTGTTCTTGACAACCATTATAAAACGAATCGATCCAAATCAGGTGCAATTTAAACTATGCATTACGTATTCGTTATATATGGCCACACGATATCGAGCTTCCACCTATTTTAAGCCGGAAATTACGCCGGAAGTTCGTGCCGAACTATTAATTTCATTTTGTATTAAATATGCCAACATGATACAGCAAGCTATTAATGAGAATCATACTAATCAATCATCGTTGGCATTTTGGCTAGCCAATTCATCTGAGATTTTACATTTTCTCAAAAACGATCGCCATCTAAGTGCATTCACATTCGATTCACAAGACATTATGGCCGAATCCGTCCAAATAGCATTTAATTTTTTGGTCGGTTGTCAACAAAATGAATTGAAGGAAGTATTATCAACATTCACAAAGGATATTGTCGATCAGTCTAATAATGCCATGGATATGATGACCCAAAACATTTTGAAAGTTTTATCCAATTCAATGCAGCTATTGCGACGTTTTCGTGTAAATGCAGCACTTACTATTCAACTGTTTTCTCAGCTATTCCATTTTATCAATATGTGGTTATTCAATAAAGTCATCGGTACGGCCGAATCTAATTTCTGTTCTCGTGTTTACGGGATAAAATTGAAACAATGTTTAGCTCAAATTGAATTATGGGCTGAAAAACAAGGACTTGAACTGGCAGCTGAATGTCATTTATCACGTATCATTCAAACAGCATTGTTTCTACAAGGACCTAAAAAATGTCCCGAAGATTTGAATGCATTGGTTGCAAATTTTTACAAGTTAAATTCCGTTCAATTGCGAGCTTTATGTGAACGTTATCAACCATTGTCGGATGAGATATCGTTCACTGCCGATAACATTCAATGTATGGTGAAGATGGCCCGTAATACCACCGATGAATTGATCATTAAAGAAGGTCGTGAAATTCGATTAGAAGAAGAAAGTGATCTTCAATTGCCATTTCTATTGCCTGAAGATGGCTATTCCTGTGATATTGTCCGCGGTATACCGACCGGATTACAAGAGTTTGTTCAGACATTGGTTCAAGCTCGTATTTGTAGTCTAACTATTCAGCCTACGGCTTCTGGTTATTGGACTATTTATTTCATTAATTTTCAGGCCGAACAACAAACAACACCAACATCGATACCTTATCAAGAATTTGATGATCAAAAAAATCGTGGTTCTATTTCAGATAAAAATTCCATGTCGGGTCAATTTGTTGGACAGCCACAATTATTGCATGGACAACAACAATCGAAAAACCAATTGCCACCTATTAACTCATTGGGAATGATGGTGGCTCCTGGCTATGGTCTAGCATCTGCATATGGTACTGTTCGTATGATGCCCGAACCAGAGGTTCATGTGATCAAACTTCAAAAAATTAATAACGGTATCGGTTTAAGTATTGTGGCTGCTCGTGGTACTAATCAAAGTCAATTGGGTATCTATATTAAATCGGTTGTAAAAGGAGGAGCTGCTGATATGGTAAACAAAATATATTCAAGTTTTTTCAGATTTAATCTTATTTAATTTTAATTTAATTACGCAGGACGGTCGATTAGAAGCTGGTGATCAGCTGTTAAAAGTTGATGGACAAACATTGATTGGAATCACCCAAGAAAAGGCTGCAGAATTGATGACTCAAACTGGGCCTGTAGTTACATTAGAAGTTGCCAAACAAGGCGCACTTTATCATGGACTAGGCGGTATCCTTACTCAACAACAACAGCATCAGCAACAACAAGTTCCATCATCTGCCGCTGCAATGATGGCCAAAAGTAATTTGATCCATACTAATACAACAATTATTGTTCCTGGAACATGAAACACTAAACATTTCATTATCTTTTTATTAGATTTACGGCCTCGATTTGCACCCGAATATGGTGCTGGTGGTTTACATCGATTCCCTGGGGCTGGAACTACAACTGGCCAATACAGTCCTATGTTATCACAATTTCCAACGGTTGCAGTTTCACAACAGACTTGTTTGCCTGGTATGATGATGTCAAACTTAATCATTGAACGTGAAATTTATTTTTAATTTTTTTTTTAATTGAAACAAAGGCTATAATTCACTACCATTATCATTGAATTATAATTATCGAAATCAAATGGGCACAGCAAATGTTAATAATGCTGCTGCTGCTGGTGGTGGTGGTGGTGCTACCATGCCATTAACATATAATAGTAATTCAGTCAATTCAATGCGACCAGAATCACAATTAAGCTATAATTCAGCCACAAATCTGATGAATTCATCATTAGTCAATAATAATAATCGCAGTATAAATATGTCAACGGCTAGTTTACCGGCAAATTCTGCTGCGGCAGCAGCAGCAGCGGCGGCCGCTGCTGCTGTTCAGCATTTTCACCAATTGCCTGAAGAACGACATTATCAAAACATTCAATTATATCAATTGAATCATCCGGGTTCAACAACACAACCAAATGGACCTGGTCAAATTTCTTCAATACAAAAATTATCACCAAGACATCATCCTATTCATCATCATCATCAAATAATGCCACCACCAGCTACCGTTGCTCATGCAGCAAATCGTTCGATATTACACGGGTCACATTCATCTTTGCAGCAACATCCATCATCACTGGTAACAACCACTGGCGAATTGGCATCATCATCTGCTCCCTCGAGACCTGTATCGGCCATTGTAACCACAAGAGAACAAGAGCAAATATTCGCACAAAATGCAGCAGCTGTTCCAGGGTCAGTAGCAAATACAGTAAAAAGACCCGGAGAACATTATTATGCACAACAGCATCATCAACAACAGTCACAATCATCAGATCCAAATCATACATCGTTGATCGAACAGCAATTTCGTCAACATCAATTACGACAAGAAGCTAAAATGGAAGAGATTCGTGAAGAATTACGACGTCGTGAAGATCGAATGCAACAACAACAACAACAACAATTGCATGGTGGTTCACACACAATGTCTAGAGGTGTATCAATGTCCAATTCAGCCATCACTCCTCACGTTTTGATGACTTCTAATGCCAATAGTTTACGACCACGTTTCACTAGCCAACAGTCATTGACATATAATGGACAATCAATGACACATCCATCTACAACTATGTCCCAATCATCGATGAATGGATTCCGTCCCAATGGACCATACGGTTCGGCTATTCGTTCGAATCCACCACCACCGGCACCAAAACCATTGCGATCAATGCCAATAAATAATAATAACGTTATTCAACACACACAGCAGCCAAATTATCGTTATGGACCCAGTGGATATCCACCTCTAACACAAGCCAAATCATCATCACCATCACCATGGGAACGGGAAGAAAAAGAAAAGGTATTAATGAATTTATCCCATTAGCATGATTAAAATCTATATTTTTATTTTATATTCTAAAAGGAAATTCAACAAAAAATCGAAAAAACAAAAAGATCGCGCGATGAAGAGATCAAACATTTAGAATCATTACCTTATCGTAATCCTAAAAATGAGGAACGTTTAAGAAAATTGATCTTGGAACGTGAATTCCAGAAACGTGCTGCCGAAGAGAATGAAGACGATGATGATTATGATGATGATGATGAAGTGTTGGATCGTGCCGAACGTCGTGAAAGAATGTTGGCCATTCATCAGGATCGTGAACGTTCCCGTCAACGACGTATGCAACAGGAACAACAACAACATCAACAGCAGCAACGTTACAATGTTAATAGAACAGATGAAATGAATGATGAAAGAAAAGCTGATACAGCTCAGAGACTTAAATATCTTCGAATTACAGAAGAACAAACACAACAGGAAGAGGAACAAATTTTACAAGATACCAAAAAACGACAGGTAAAAATTAAAATCATTTTAATGGATTGTTAATTAATTATTTGAATAATTCTATTATATTAGGAGGAATCACCATCCAAAATAAATAGTAAATCAAACCATGATCATCATAGTGAAACACCTCCTCCGTTACCGAAATCATCACCACCCGTTGAATCAGCTAATCAGCGTTTGGATCGTTTATTATCGAATGCAATGAAAAATGATGATGGTGATCAACAATCGCCATCACCATCACAACAACAACAACAACAACATGCAACACTGGTCACAACATCAACGACAACCAGAATGGGTGTTTTGAAAAATTCTACCAATAATAACACATCTAATCTACATTCAGAAAATAAATCTACCAAAAAAGTTTCATGGAATGATAATCCTGCCGCAACCGTATTGAATAATGATGACGATGATGATGATGAAGATGAAGATGACGACAATGATGATGATAATGAAAGCGATGATGATCATAATGAACAGATGAGTACACCGACAAATATGAGTGTTAACGTCGGAAATGTTGGTGCCATTGGTAGTCATATTAATCATCATCATCATCATCATGTTGAAGAAGAAGAAGAAGAAGAAGATGAACCACAAGAAGATCGATTTTCATTGCAAGATATTGATGATGTACTTGGATCACAAGGACCGAATGGAAAAAATTGGCTCAATAATTATGTAAGTGGTAGTACACCAGGTGTAATTGGTGCACAAGAAGTATATAATGATCCACGTAAACGTATTGAAGCTGAACGTTTTAAATCGAATCAAAATCAATCATCAACAGATAAATTACCTGAAAAGCTAACATTTCAGGAAAAAATGAAAATGTTTGCCAAAACAACTGGTGCACATGAAGAAACACCAGTACGAAGTAAAGTTAAAATATCGAAAGCACAACGTGAAATTGAAGATCGTGATACAATAATGGCAACAACAACAACGACAACGACATCGGATGATTAACGGTCATTTTTCAATCAATCAAAAAAAAAAAAAAAAAAAACATCATCACACACCCACACTCACACTTTTTTTACTTATTGATATTTTTTTTCTTAAAAAAGACGGATTAATTTTTCTTTCACTCACACACACACACACACACACAAAACCACCAAATCATTCTGTATGAATTGTGTATCTACTTATTATTATTATTATTATTATCATTTTATTATTTTTCATGAATTTTTTTTCGCTTCATTTTTTTTCTTGCCACTACCATTTTTTTTTTTTTTTTGATGAACAGAGAGATTATTTTTCTTGAAATGAATGATGAAATAATAAAATATTTATGTCCATGTTTTGTTGGAATTTGAATTTGAATTTATTCACGTTTATTTTTTCCTGCTGTTTTCAATGAAAATTGGTATTTTTTAAAATTCGATTTTTGTTTTGTTTTGTTGCTGCTGGCATTTCACAATGATGATGGAAAAACAATGTGATCCCCATCAATTTTTGTCATCAATTTTTTGTTTTTGTTTCACATTTCATTCTATCATCATCATCATCATTTTTTTTATTATTATAATTGTAAATCAAGTCATGTTCCAAAATTTAAGCATAAATGGAATTTAATTTTAGATTTTTATTTTCAATTTGAAATTTTGATTATTCAATTTTCTTCGTCATTTTTTGGATGCTTTTATTATTATGGCCACAATGCATTTATTGCCACACGAATAAGATGGGGAAAAAAACTTTCGCTTTAAAAACGATATAATTTTTTTTTTGTTGCTGCACACATTGATTGTTTTGTCGTGTGTGTGTGTGTGTGTGTGTGATAAGTCGATCAATCGATTGTTTTTTTTCTATGATGATGTTTCATCAAGCCAACAGGTGACATCGGTAATTTTTTTTTTGTTCACTCGTCTTTTATCAATTTTTTTCTGTTCTTGTTCTTTTGATCAAAATAAATAAATTCAAATGTGGATAAAAAATCTGGAAAGTCGACATTAATTGTCTGATGTTGTTGGTGTTGTTGTTGTTGTTGTTGTTGTTATTGTATCTCATGGACCAGAAAATATAACAATAGTATAAAGGTGCTTGTCAATTGGGTGCATGGCGGTTGTAGGCGGTGATGATGATGATGATGATGATTGCCGTGTGCAATCAACCAAAAATTACGATGATGATGACACTGTTCATTGATCAATGAATCGATCGATCAATCAATCAATCAATGAATGATTCATACATTATTCATCATACATAAATCATTTGAATAAATTGATCACGAATATTTTGTCATTGGAATGATAATAAAAAAATGTTTTTAAAAAACAAAGAAACAAAAAATTTAAATCTAAACAAAATATTCTAATGATGATGATGATGATGGTGAAACTGGCCAATCAAAAGGTAAAATGTGCACACATGTACCTGAGATGAGGTTTTTTTTCTAATGTATTGTTTCTGTTTTCTCATTGATTTTGTTTTCACAATTTTAATTGGCAATAAGATAAGATTTTCATTTGATCAATTTTATACGAATGGTAACAATAATGTTAAACACAAAGGAAAACAAAACAAAACAAAAAAAACTTAATTAAATTCATTCAGTTTTATTGTTTTTCATATATATATAAAAAAACCCAAAAGAATTGTTGTTGTTTGTTTCTATGAAATGAATTAATTTTCAACAGATAATCAATAATAATAAATCAACAACAACAACAACAACAACAACAAACGAGAAAAAACCATTGAATTTTAATTCAATAATGGAATTTCAAATTGAAATTCAAGAATAATAATGTATCACACACACACACACACACACACACACACAATCAAATGTGATAATATATCCATTGGAATTCGATTATTTTTTTTTGTTTTGTTTTGTTTCATGCACCTGAAAAAAAATAGGAAAGACGAAAACAAAAAAAAAAAAAACGTAATAATGCGTAACGTAAATTTAAAGATTGAGATTGTTATTTTATTGTACCGTATTCGTATTAAAAAAAATCGACTTTTGAACAGTGCGAATAGATGAAAATTCAATTTTATTTAGCGACATTTGACTTGATTTTTTCTTTTCTTTCTTTCTTTCTTTCTTTCTGTCTACATCGAATGATTCAATCAAACCAATAAATATCAATACACACCCACACACACATGCACACACATGCATTAAAAGATTGATAGACAATTGTTGTTGAAAAATCTCATCATCATCACAATGTAACAAAATAATTCGTCTACAATTCCAATCGATTACCAACAACACAACACACACACACACATGCACGTAAAAGAATTGTTCACAATGTCTCTGACCTACAATACTGAATATTGAATTTGATGGAACGGATAGCCGAATTTCATCGGTGATTTCTTTTTGTTTTGTAGATTTTTCAATGATGATGATCACCGTGTGTGTGTGTGTGTGTGTGTGTGTATGTCTGACAATTGTTTGTGATTAAATCTCATAATGTTGATTGATTTTTGTTGCCTCCTAAATTTAAAATCAATTCTTTCCCAGGTTACAGTGGATGCCTGGTATTGTCGACCTTTTTCATGCCTTCATCTCGTTCATTTTATTGTTATTGTTCCTGTCGTCATTTTTTTTGTTTTGTTTTGTTTTCTCTATCATCTTCTTGATTTGATTTTATATTGTCACATCATCATTTTTTTTTTTTCATCGAATGAATGAATTTCGTACCATCATTCGACAACTAAAAAAAAAAAAAAAAAAGAAAAGAAAAGATTTTCATTCATGATCAGAATGATTATGGATTTTAATCAAAATTTCACACATATTCATCTAATATTCAAATTGTCTATTTTCAATTATTGATTAGACATATACAATTTATATATTCATTCATTCAACATAATAATCATTATTACAATAGGAACAATAAGTGTCAACGAATTATTTGAAACTAACGAATAAATCGATAATAAAAATTTAATTTGTTGAATCTACTGAATTAGTGTATATATGAACATAGAAATCAATGAAAAATAAAACAATTTTCATATGCATATATATATATATTGATTATAATTTTCATTAGAAAAAAAATCAATCAATCAATCAATTAATTGGGCCATTTATTGATCATAATGATAATAATGAATTATGATGACCATAATTTTTTTTTAATTCATTTCATTTCATAATCAATTATATAGATAATTCAAGAATCAATGACTATGGTAGTTATTATTTTTTTCATTTTTTTTTTTTGAATAAAAAATCATAAAAAACCATAACAACAATGGTTAGTTTGATCATAAATCCATTATTAAATATAATGGACCATAACCGAAACGTTTTGAACCTCTTTTTATTTAATATATGTAGTGAATTATTATGATTTGCCCATTTTCAATGATGATGATGATGATGATATGATGAATGAAAAAAAAATCATATGAAATGTTTGGCCATAACAAATTCACAATCATTATCTTGGACTAGAATTTCTCTCTCTGTGTGTGTGTGTGCGTTATATTTTCATTTCTATTTGGTTATCTGATCCAGAAATTTTGTTTATTTTTTTTTTGTTCATATTGATTTATTTTTAACACCTCAAACACAGTGTTAGATTGATAGAAATCTGATAAAATATGATGATGATAACGATCAACGTTAATCGATGATGATAAAATCACCACAATTAATAATTATTATTATTATTACGATTCAATTTAATTTTGTTACCAATTCACAGGTTAAAACTTATTTTCTTCATGATTATTTTTCTCATTGTCTATCAGTGTGTGTGTGTGTGTGTGGTTTGTTCAAACATGTTATGATTTTATCCATTTTTTTTTTTTTTTTTTGGTGTATCCATACGGATATATGGAACAATAAAACAAAGAAGACGAGAAAAAAAAATCAACACAATAATTTATTAACTATTTTTTTTTGTTCTTCTAACTGAATTGTTCCTGTCACTTATTCGCTCCAATCAGTTCTCATTTTGGTGTGTGATGGCAATTTTTTTGTTTGTACGAAAATGAAATAAAAAAATTTCACAACACACACACACACAAACATATGGGGTGAATATCTTTGAGTGGTTCGACAACCTAAAAAAACGAGAGGGTTAACTGTTGACATACACACACACACAAGCACATACATACGGAAATCAACTAAAAGGTGAAAAATCGTCCATGCTCAACGATTGATAAATAGTATAGTATACTGTTGCTATACATGACTAACATTGTAATAAATCATCATTGTGTGTCTTAATTCAATTATTATTATTAAAAACATGATCCATATATATATATATATTTTTTCTAATACAAAATATAAATGGATGTTAATCAGTTAGTTGTATATGGTGATTTACATACAATCACGTGTATATTCTATGTCATATCAAAATGAAATTCACACAATGAATTAATATTGAAATTGTGTTTTTTTTTATCCACCACCCTATATCTCTTTTCTTTTTGATGAATAACTAAATTGACTGATAATAATAATAAAATACCATACCATTTTTATTATTATGATGATGATCATTGTCGATTGTCATCATACGATGTTTTTTTTTCTGTCTGTTTCTGTTGCCGGCTGTATTTTTTTTCTATTTGTTTGTTTGTTTGTTTGTTTCGTTTTGTTCTTGTTGTTCAATTTGTTTCGGTTAATTGCATTGTGAATTATTCGATATCATTGTCATTGTTCAACCAAGATTAAAATAATGCTTCTGCCCTGTTGTTGTTGTTGTTGTTGCTGCTGCTACTACAACTGATAATAAATAGAATGAATGAATAGATAATATAGATTGTATGGAGATGGCAAAAAAAAATTTGAAGAAAAAAAAAAACATTCTATGACCTATAGGTACTTTCTTTTAACGAGAGCGATACATTGAGAGACAGATGAAAAAACAAAACGACCGAGAATTCATTTGTCATCATCATCATCATCATCGTCGTCGTCTATGTTTGCCATTGTCATTTGAATTATGATCATAGATGATGATGATGATGATGATGATGAAGATGGTTAAGAAGAAGAAATAGGAAACTGTAACGGAACAATTATCATTGTATGTATCTGTATTGTATGTTCATTCATTGCAGTTATATCGAAATTGGATCATTTCATTCATTGTTGTTGTTGTTGTTGTTGCCGTATTTTTTTTACATGCAGTTTATCATAATTTTTATCATGAATCGAAGAAAAAAAATGTGTCAATTTCAATGAATAA